TGTGTCCAGCCTTTCAGGGAGGACCACAGTCAGCTCCTAAATATGTGCTAAATTTGAGAATTTACTATCAGAGCTTTTAAAGAATGCAAATATCCTCTGGCAGGGAAAGACTGGGAGAAGGCATTTCTGGCTGCTCTCTCTTCTCTGAGCCCTGGGAGGATGGCCGTAGTGAGCCCTCATGGGCCCATTAAAAACTTTTCCTTTGTTTGCTATGGTCCTGTGGGTCTCATGGATGCAAGCCCCTACTGGCTTTGAGAGCTAGGTGTTTGGGGGGCCCATCGTCAGGTGGAAATCTTAAAAGTTGAGGTGCTAGATGTTCCATCGAAACCCTTCCGTCTTCAGGAAGAACCTGGGAGTTGTGAGTTGCCTCCTGATTTTAGGTTGATGTGCCAGGTGTGAGGGTTATGGTGATAGTATGTCTCAGCATTTCCTACCCATTTCAATGTGGCTATTTTCTTGTTCATCCAAAGTATAGGGGTCGCTCAGCCGGATTTCTTTCAGAAGGAAATTCGGTTTATAGGTCTAGGTTTGGTGTGTCTTGGGGCTTACTATGTCACCCCTTGGACCAGCACCTCAATTACTCATATTTTTATATCTTTCGCCCTAAATTCTCCTCTGACCTCCACATTCATTGATCTCTACCACATCTACTCTTATATGGGCTCAGAAAGATACCAAGCTTGCCCCAAAACATTATTTTTCTAAATGACACATTTAGGAGTAGTGGATCAGGTCAAAGACAACAAGTCATCTGTGTTTCCTCCCTTGTTTATCAAGTCTAATCCATCAGCATGTCTTCTAGCTTTAAAATATATCCCCAAACCTACTACTTCTCATGTCTAAGTCACCATCACTTCTTGCCTATACTCCTGCAAGGCTGCCTCATTGCTTCTACTCTTGTTCTTTTATGATCTTTTCTCATAAAGCAGTCTTCTCAAAACCATACATCAAATCATTTCACTCCCTTTCTTGAAATTTCTATCGCTCTTAGAGCAAAATTTCTCAACAGAGCATTGTATGGTCTGGGACTTGGCTGTCTTTCCAGCTTCACCCTCCTGTATTCCTCTCCTCGCCCTCACCACTCATTCTGCTCTGATAACACTGGCTGTTTCTGCAACAGGTGAAGGTGTTTACTATCTCAGGACTTTTGTACTCGTTCTTCTCTTTGTTCAGATACTTTTCCCTGTAGGTAGGGTTACCAGATGAAAAACAGGGTTCTTAATTACGTTTCAATTGAAAACAATTTTTTAATTTATACATACCTCAAATATCTCACGAGTAAGTACTTAATAGTAGGTACTCAGTAAAGTACCACACATATTGATTAGTTATAAACACAAAATACTAACTTAAAGCTTAATTGTCATTATACCAGGAGTGTCTCCTAACTTTTAGTTAAGTGGTGTTTTTTTCATGTTATTCTTCTGCTTTTTTTAAAAAAAATTTGTTGTCAAGAGTATTACAGATGTCCCCTATTTTCCTCCCTTCACCCATCTCCTACCCCACCCTAGGCCATGCATATATGCTTACAAGTTCTTTGGTTTTTGATGGAACAGAAAATTAGACCACAAACAAGACCCATTAATGCATTAAAGATATAGTTATCAAAAAAATTCTTATTAATATAAAAATTATCCTAGAAAGGTATTATGGAAAGAAAAATATTCTCTCTGGCTTGAATCCATTTTCTTTATTTTCAAATGTGTGTTTGTTTTTTGAGGGGGGTGGGGGCTCATTTCCCCTGTGTGATGATGAGATATGTCTGTTTTAGCCTGCAAGGTGGTAGTTTAGATAAGTTATTTGGAGTCCCTGGAATCTGTAAGTTGATTCACACTAAAAAATCTGCCTCTTCAGTTTCCTGACCATGCTTTCTCATGCATTTTGCATGGGCAACTACATTTACCAAGACTTGAAATTATTCCATGCAAGTAAATTATGAGCTATATTCTAAAAACATTCCAAATCACAAATGCATTGGTATGGGTGGAACTTCAGCATTTCTGTTTTAAAGCGACCAAACTCCCACTAACATCATGACCAGATCAATTAAGTCTGATTTTTTAAAAGATTACTATAGTAGAAAATAAGAGATTGGTACCTTGTTTCAGTATGACAGATTATACAGTGCTAATATTATATATATCTAAATATCTATCTATCTATCTAGAATATATATACATACATACACACACACACACACACACACACACACAATATAGTAATTTTAGTAGATTTCTTTCCAGGGATGTCTCTCAAAAGAATCTTAAAAAGATACACCGAGAATTCCTCATTCCTATTTTCACTTTTCAGTTACTTATTAAAAAACCCCTGCATGCCCCCTACTGAGGATCTCCCTCAACCAGGGAATGTACCCTGACTAGGAATAGAACCAATGATTTCTGGTGCATGGGACGATGCTTAACCAACTGAACCATACCAGCCAGGGTAAGGGAATAATAATATATTTTTAAAAATGTTCATACAGAGAGATAATTTAATTTTTTTTTTTTTTTTTTTTTTTTTTTTTAGTATTTAAACCAGATAGGTTTCTTCACTTGGTTTTCACAGCAAAAAAAAATTCCATTATTATCCCAGGACAAATGCAGTTGTTTTCTGAATATCCTTCTGCTACTCCCTTTTCCCTCTGATATGCTCACTCCATCCATAGTAATGGCCACATCTCCATCTAGTGGTTCCCTAATCAATGACTACCTGGACAACAATGACGAAAGAACAAACACAGCCAAAGTGGTTCTAGTAATAATAACCACGGTGAATCAAGGCCATCAGAAAAGAAACTGCAAAACTATAAATAAAACCCTGAAAACAAACTCAGGCCCTAAAACATCTATTTAGTTACATTGATTATGTAATTCAGTAAATGGCAAAAGGTTAATAAATAATGATTATTTTGCCCTAGATAATGTAAGTGATATTTAAGTAAAATGAAATTGGGAGCACTTATACAGTAAGAGCATCAAAATTTTGGTAGTAAAAATCTAAAAAGTTGTTTTTTTTAAAAAAAGTAGAATGATTGAATATTAAATAATGATTAAATTGAGATGACCAGCTCTAATAATTGTCCTTAAGGTATTTCTCTTTAGTAAAATTGAGACATCATGAAGCTTGTATAATTTTTTTCCACATCGACTTATTTTTTTAAAAAAACTGAGAAAATACTGATTTTTAAATAAATATAGAATGTTATGTTCAGTTTAAGATTAGAAACTTATGCAACATTTGAAATTAGCTATTTATAATTAGTACTGGTATTTTAATAACCTGGTTTCAGGACATTTAGGGATATGGATTATTTTTAAATTTCAAGCCAAACACAAAAACAAAGAAAAATTAGAGAAAGTGACTGACCATCCACACCACATGAAAACTTGCAGTAAAATGAAGATAGGAGCTGACATCATGGTACAGGCACGACTCGTTGTGCATATAAGTTGATCCTATTAATAACAGGCAAAGTAGCAAGAACAGGAAAAAAGAAAGAAAACACAGAAAAGAAGACATACAAGATGAGATTTCATGCAATTTGCTGGCAGTTAGCAGTTTATGTGAGCCTCCATCCAGAGCAAATTCACAGTGACCATTGCAAATAAGCATCCCTGAAATAGTCCACTGCTAAGGACACACAGGCATTATTAGCACATTAAGCTACAGAGCAAGAGTTGTACTTTCACCCACAATCCACTGTATAATTTATAGGAATTTGAGCATTTTTTGTCTTAAACCTTTTTAATGCCTTGATCAAAATATAGAGCTTCATAGGGTAAAAATATTTTTGAGTAACAGGGATTTTATGTGATCTTTAAAGTTCGTCTGAAGGCATTTAACCTCAGTCTTTGATGGTAAATAGCTGATGAGCGATACTACCCTTGGGCCCACATACAACATTCTTTGGGGAATGATTTGACAAGAGCAAAGCTGCTGAAGGTGTAGTAGATAAAACAATAAGTCCTCATATCTGAATTTTTTAAAATTCTAACTGAGTAAAATGAAAAAGAACAATTAGCAATTCTGAATCATTTCCCCATCAAAGGGAAAAATCAGAGATAACAGAGATATACTTGCTAAAACATCTTGCTTTTTTAGCCTTATTCTCCAGATTTTCTTCTTTGCACCAATTATAATTTAAATGATCTAATTGCATAATATGTATCTATGGAAATGCTTAAGTACATAGTAGGCAAGTCTATTCTAAATAAATAAAAATCTCTATAAATACACATCAATCAGTAAATGATAGAAATTATTATATTATAAATTAGGGCCAAAGATAATAATGGTCTCTGTGTGCAAACCACTAAATGCAAAGGCACACCTTGAAGAATCAGAGAATTGAATATTATATTTAAAATTAATTTTTGAAAGTGGACAGGCATTTTGTAACTTTTATGTTTGAGAATAAAGTTTCTTAACTAAAATAATTTTAAAAGCATAAAGCTGATTACCGACACAGTGAGAATAGTATTAGAGGAAGACAGCTGACCTATAGGAAAATTAGCAGTTTGTTAAATAAAATTTTACAAAGCATATTTAATATGTTATCAACTTAACCCCGTGTAATTGACCTGGTCTAATTTCAAACAATATAAGAATAGTTAAGAGAAATAATATAAATCTAATCTATGACAGAATCAGAAACCATGTAAAAAAAGAATTATAAAACAATTAGATAATAGCTGTTTAACAGGTTCATATACCATACATAACATTTACTGTCCATGAAAGTCTTTAAAATCATCAGATTTGTAATGTTGGGTTATTAGTAAATTGATTGGAATTGTGTTTGAAAGTACAATTTCTGTGGGAAGGACAGATAGAAGAAGCAACTGGTAAGCTTATTCTAACCATGAAAAATATTGAAATGAAAAATCTATTTACCAGAAAGTACATCATGTTAATGAGAAACACTATGGCTCTTTAAGTACTTGAGGACAAGGACCACTGAGATAAAGTATTTTAATACAGTAAACACTTGGTCTTACCAAGTCATTGTTATCAAAGCAGACGTCAGGCCCTTTCGGTATCTGGGTTGCTTAACCATGTCACAAGGATCAGGACCATCAGCTAAAGAAACTTGTTAAGGAATATGAAATTACTTCCCCCCACACACAAATAAAGAAAATGCAATATATTTATTTCTCAAAGCAAGTAAGAGTTACCTATGTCATTACTCTAACCCAGTACAACCAGTTCAAGTACTTAGGGATTTAAGGAATTAAACTGCCACAAATTTTTCATGTCAGACTAGAGGCTGTGTGAAGAGATCAACTTTTTCAATTCTGACCATATATGGTCCCTGGCACATAAAAGTGGATGAATGATGCAGAGTATAAGACAGGGTCATACTTATAAAACAGTACAGGGGAGAACCTGGGTGCAAAGATAGACAAAACCAACTTCTAATAATACTGGTAAATGTCAATTCTAAACATAGGTGAGAACTTTTTTAGCATTTGCCCCTGCTATTTTTGAAAAAATAAAAATAATAAATAAATAAGTATACACACACACACTAGAGGCCTGGTGCATGAAATTTGTGCACTGGGGGGTGTCCCTCAGCCCAGTCTGCACCCTCTCCAATCTGGGACATCCCTCTCACAATCCAGGACTGCTGGCTCCCAATGGCTCGCCTGCCTGATTGCCCCTAATCGCTTCTGCCTGCCAGCCTGATTGACGCCTAACCCCTCCCCTGCAGGCCATCTGTGGCCACATGGGGGTGGCCATCTTGTGTGTTAGAGTGATGGTCAATTTGCATACCAGTCACAACTAATTAGCATATCCAGGCTAATTAGCATATCCCTCTCTTATTATATAGGATAGGCGCTCTACAGAACCTCTGCATAAGTGCTTAATAGTCATTGCATGTCATTTTGCATGTTTACCACCAGAAGTAGTTTTAGCAGTTGTAGCATATGACAGGGTTTCCTTTTTAAAGAATGAATGGTATTCCATTGGATGCATATACCATATCTGACTGCATTTTGCATTATTGACTACTGACAGCTTTTAAGCTACAATGCCCTTTCCTTCTACCCCACATCTAGGCGATCAGGAAAGCCGGAGTGGAGTGCTCCCTCCGTTGGCACCGCTGCCTAACCCAGACAGTTGCTCCTCCCAGCTCTCTCGATCTACTTGGGAATCTGCACTGCTCTCTCCACCAAACTTCATTCTGTGAGTAAGAAACCTTTCACATTCTTTTGGTGCATGTATAGCAACATCAGCCTTGACATGCAAAACAAATGTTGCGTGAGGGGCCCATTCTTCCTGTGCGGTGATCACTCTATAATATTTTTCTTTTGACGAGCATAAACAACATGACTAAACAACATGACGAGGTTAAAAACACGTTATTTCAAGGTGGCTTTCCAGCCCAAACATCTCCGGTGTCAAAGGATACAAGTCTGCTCCGCTTGTATGAGCAGCCGTGTGTCACAGGGACAAGTCCCTTTGCTCTCAACCATTATGAATACCAAGTTGGTGTTCATAAGTTTTTCTACATGAAAGATCCTGCAAAGTAAATATTTTAAAAAATAACAGAACTGTATCTTTAGGGAAAAAGAAATACAAATATTCAAAGATTCTTAACACATTAAAATGATATCACATCTTGAAATACAAAGTATCACAAACAAACAATAAAACAGAGGGAGAATGAGTTTAGAAGATAGGTTACTGTGTTTTATGTCTTAGTATGCACCTCGTACCTCTCTCAAATGAATACAAAAAAATGCAAAAATGTTTTAAGCATGTTTAAAAATGTTAGTTCCCAATGCAAAATTAGCACTATTAAGTTGTTGAAACTCATAGAAAAATGTTTTACATGTTTAAGGAATTGTGGTATTTATCACTGGAAATGAGCCATAGTTACCTTATTTTACACATAAGAAAACTCAGACTACAAATATGGCTAATCATCTTGCCCAAGCTAATGGCAGAGTAAAGACTAGATCAGAAAACTTTCTGTGATGATGGAAATGTTTTTTTTTGCTTTATGCAATGAGACAATAAGGCTATTGAGCACCTGAAATGTGACTGAGGCACAATATTTTAATATTAACTACTGAACTGGAAACACACATATAGAGAAGTCAAGAGCTTTAAATTCCACGAAGTGTTTTGTTTTTGTTTGTTTTTTTCACTTCTTTAGCAATCAGTAACTGTCGTTAAAGAGTAATTTCTTTAAGATTATCTATTTTTTTTAAAAGTGGGGTTTTTCTGCGATTCATTCTAATATCTTGATTATCTCTGCAATTTAATTTAGCCATTTTAAAGCACACAGTGCTAGTACTGCACATCAATTAATGAAAGGACAAAGGATTCTGAAGCTCTTTCTGATGTGCTGGTAACACTGATAGAGGATAGCCTAATATACTAATCTCTAAACAAGGAGGTCTGCTTTTTACTGAGTTCATGCCTGACTGTCCTCCCCTTTCTTCTCCTTTTCATACCCTCTACCTCCTCCCAGAACATAAAGGTTAGCTAAGTAAAGTCATCGAATCATATTGAACATGCTTATTAAAAATTCATGCTAGTGTCAGTTAACCCGTTCCTGAAAATATTTTTAACTGTTCTAAACATCTATTTTGAATCCCTAGGAACTAACAATTCCAGCCCTTTTATGTGCTCAGATTACCTCATCTCCTCATATTTTCTCTTCTCTATGTTAACATTTCTTCTCAAATAACCAGCCCACAGTCACTAAAAACAAAGTATCCCAACTCTTTGCCTTTCTGCTCCGTAATCAGCAGACCTGTGACATGGATTATCACTCTCCTCTGAAAACCCAAAATCCCCACTTTGCCTCTATCCCATTACAACCAAACTAAATTCTCCATCTCTTCCAAAAATGTTTCAAGATTTTTTATGGGTACTGGTGATGACTAACATTAACCTTGACCTTTGGAAATATTTTCTCCCAGTTTTGAATTAGAATACACACCCCTGAAAATAGTTTAAATGTAAAAAAAATCATACATCTGCCTTGGAATTACTGATGCAATTAACCCTAATCTTATTAGAATGAATGATTCTGCAAATTTCTCTATAAACATTTTAATATGAGTTACTTTAGACAAAAAATACACAAATATCATTTCTCTATTCTACCTACAAGTGAGAATTTTTTCTAGAACATTTATTATAGTTGAAGGGACTATAACTTATCTAAGTTAGAATTAATTTTAAAAATTATAATTTCTGATATTTTCATCTTAAAACAGTTATCCATATCTCTCTGACTCAAACAACAATCTCCATTATTTTCTGTAATGACTATAAAAGTGAACACAATTTCTTTGATCCAGAAATGAGGAAGAAAAATTACCTGGAACAGTTTCCGCAGTCTAATACACCACTGAATGACTTACTATCATTATCAAAGAAATACTGCGTTTGTTCAGTAATGCAACTCTGCTTCGATATAGAGGCTGTAAAGTCCTCATCTTCCACATCAACTGTGGGAAAACAAAGACCACCATTAGGAAGGGACATGGTAGGCAGTCCCCAGAGCCTTCCTTTCTCACGGACAAAACAACTGCAAAAGGGCAGGCACCTTGATTGGCTGTTTACTGCTAGTAATATAGTGGTAGCCCTTAATAGTTGCCCAACAATTTTTTCAATAGAAAAAATTAATTCAAATATATAACAGCTACAAAATAGAACCAATGAAAGAGAGAAAAGTTTTGACAAATAGATTTGAACCTGTAAGTGTCAAATGGGTGATTCTCTTTCTATCACACTCTCTTTCTGAGTTTGTTAAATTCAGTACATCCAAAAATATTTTAATTATTATGACAACTAGAGGCCTGGTGCACGAAATTCATGCACTCAGGGGATTGTCCCTCAGCCTGGCCTGTGCCCTCTCGCAGTCCGGGAGCCCTCGGGGGATGTCTGACTGATGGCTTAGGGCCTAAGCCGTCAGTTGGACATCCTTAGCGCTGCTGTGGAGGCAGGAGAGGCTCCTGCCACTGCTGCTGCGCTTGCCAGCCATGAGCCTGGCTTTTGGCGCTCCCTCTGTGGAAGTGCACTGACCACCAGGTGGCAGCTCCTGCATTGAGTGTGTGCCCCGGTGGTCAGTGTGTGTCATAGTGACTGGTCGTTCCACTGTTCAGTTGATTTGCACATTAGCCTTTTATTATATAGGATATCTGAGCATTTACTTACCTGCCTCCAGAAGCCGGGGAAAAGTCAAACTCAAGATAAACTGCTGTAGAATAGACCTGAATTTTAAATATGAGTAATTATTGATTAAAGTCTACATATTTTCCTCTATAAATTATATAATAAAAATGTGAAGAATTTTTTTTATAAACACATTTCTTTTTCACCTTTCAGAAAAATATTAAGAATTTGTTAATAAAAAGTTTAGAAGCTTTTTATATAAGTATTCTTAAATTGTACAAAACATTATACATTATTTCTGTTGAAAAAGTCAGGGTGTGTAGGACCAAATGAGGGACACATGTGTGAAGAGATATAATATGAAATGAGATTGTGGAGAAGTGGTAAGTCTAGCAGGAGAATATCAGTATTTCAATGTGTGGGTTTCACAGTCAGTATTTTCTCCTTCTTTTAGTTTTTAAAGCTCTGAGGTAGAAGAAAAAGCCTAAAAAAACAAAACAAAAATGACTTTGTGCCATGGGTTTATAAACTATTTACTTTATAATATAGAGTATATTTTTAAATACACAGTGTGACATATGACACATACATATACATATATATACATATATATATATATATGTGTGTGTGTGTGTGTGTGTGTATGGCATATAGAACATTTCAATTTTATAATAAAGGACAATTGAGCCAAATATTAGTATAGAGTTATTTGGAACTGAGATTAGTGTTAAAAATAAAAAGTGGTGGTGAGATATTCTGGCCAGAAAATAACATAAAGGAAATCAAGTATTTCAGAATCAATATGAGATTTTTAAAAATATTTTTATTGATTTCAGAGAGGGAGAGAGAGATAGAAACATCAATGATGAGAGAGAATTATTGATTGGCTGCCTCCTGCACGCCCCCTACTGGGGATTGAGCCCACAACCCGGGCATGTGCCCTTGACCAGAATCAAACTCGGGACCCTTCAGTCCGTAGGCCAACACTCTATCAATTGAGCCAAACCAGCTAGGGCTCAAAATGAGATTTAGAAATCTCATTTTCACAACAGAAAGCACCAATTTTTACAAATTTGTTTCCCCAGAATAATGTATTTTTTTATTCAAAAATCTTTGCTACTTTATAATCTAATTTTAGCTGGGAAAGCCTGAATATCAAATGAACATAGAGATTAACCTACCTGGAATAAGGCTAGGACAATACACAGCTGGGCATTGATAAAAAAGAAATACAGTGACAGTGAGGAAGGAAGGGAGGGAGAGAATGGATCCCAGACACAACAGGAGGTGCAGTTACTTGACTAAGCAGAACCAATGACAAATTTGATCTTTCAGACTTCCCACAGTGCCTCACTAAGCAGTTTAAATGTCTCATTTTCATAGGTGGCAGGTTATAGGTGAGGGGGTGAAGGAGGTTGGATTCAGTGAAAAGAAAGGATTAGATCCATTTCAGCAAGATGATAGATGCCTTTAAAACTATGCCAGCCTTTGTATGAACAGTAAAGGGGTGGAAAGAGGAGTCATTATGTCAGGAATTTGATGGATGAAGACATCCAACTGGAATACAGAATGCAATAAATAGAAGAGATACAAACACCTACAATTTAAGGAATTGAGTATCCTATAAGGAAGACACACAAATGAAGAGTTTCAAAGGTCCCAGAGGAAAAAGAAGCTTCTGGAAAGGCTGGCGCTTGCATGAGCATAACATTATTTTCATATAAAAAATGGAATGATTGTAACAGCTTTACATGGATCACTTAGAAAGACTATTTATAAATACATATATATATATATATATATTTTAATATATTTTATTGACCCTTTACAGAGAGGAAGGGAGAGGGACAGAGCGTCAGAAACATCAATGAGAGAGAAACATCAATCAGCTGCCTCCCGCACACTCCCCACTGGGGATGAGCCCGCAACCAAGGCACATGCCCTTGAACGGAATCAAACCTGGGATCCTTGAGTCCACAGGCCGACGCTCTATCCACTGAGCCAAACCGGTTAGGGCTATAAATACATATTGTCAATATGTGTTATTGGGAATAAAAAAATTCCCATAATTATTATTTACATGTCACAAAATCCACGTTTTCATCACATTGTTTACTATTTACATCTTTCTCTCCTTACCAATAAAAATAGAATTTTGACTTACCAGGCAGCAGCTGTCGCCCACCAGCCGATATGTAATATGTCTGCTATTGACGGCTGGAAAATATAAGATAAAAAAGTCAGTGCTTTCATCCACACTGAGTGTCTCTTGGAGAGGGAGGGGTGACTTGGCTCTCACTGACCACGTATGCCGAGCGATGCCCTGCTCCTTGTTTGGGGGCAGCACCGGGCTCACACACGGACTGATAATCGTAGGATTTGTTAAAAGCATAGACGGATATATTAACCAGATGTCTCATCAAACTTGGGTCAATCTCGCCAAAAAATCTTCCAATCTGCACAGAAAAAAATAATAGTTGCAAATTAAAGTCAAATATTAATACCTGAATCAGTACAGTGAAAAGAAATAATACAAATAATTCTGTACTAAAATTACTCGGGAGTTTTAAAACCAGGATCTGGCATTCCAATAGAATGCAAATGAGCTTAATTCAATACTCAAAAGCTCTGTGTGATATCTGTAGAAGGAGTGGAAACAATTTATTCAGCATTAAGGACAACCAAATGCCTCCTGAGGGTGAGAAACATAGCACAAATAAGAAAAATGGATGGGACTTGGGAAAGAAATTTGTAGGGACTGTGATGAACTGGAGTGAGCTCCAACCACAGGAGCAACCTCCAAGTATTAGAGGATTACCCTGAGGTTTAATCCTAAACTCCAGCCCATAAACATTGTCAGGTAGGAAAAACGGTCATTGTTGAGAGATCTTTTCCTTCTTTTTCTTTTAAGAGAAGCCACAAATGTAGACTCAGAAATGAAATTAGTTGACAAAAAATTCTACTTTGTTCAAAATCTTCTGTGAAGCAATTAGCAATTTACAAATTTGGGATTAGAAACTTCTGTTTCAAAGCAGCCATATATTAAGTTAGACACTATCAACTGATAAGTATTTAATACATGGGAATATTCTACATTTCTGAGAGATCAAAAATAAAAAAAAGTTTATATCATATTAAGATCCTTAACTATATGTTTTAATTACTTTGAGTATTAGAAAGTAAACTCAACTAACAAACATAAGGAAACCTATATTCTGGATGCAAATCTTAATGATTTATATCATATTAAACACTTTAAAATTTATAACAAAAATAAAACAACTCATCAATTTCTATTATGGTATGAAGGAGTATTGTAATGTTGATCTAGGAAAATATACTTTGGAAACCTTAGTTCTTTTTCACTTTAAGGTACATACCTGATTAGTATAATCATCATGATTTGCCATTAAAAGAAAGCCACCATCATCTAGAATCACACAATCCATTACCTATAAAAATAAAAATAACAGTTAACACATTTTAGAAAGATTATAAGGTTATACTATCATTACTTCCATACATGTACACATCCTCAAGAGATTCTTACTAAATAAATTAAGGGCATGCATAGATTCATATCAAACCCCCAGGGCTTGATATTCCATCACTATCAATCCAGTTAAAACTGTCAATTTAGTCTTAACAAATCATAAGAACAAATCAGAAATAATCCTTTTGCCACTCCAAAAATCATCTGAATCATTCAGTAAACTGAATATATCAAAATATTTAATGTATAATTACTTTATTATTTTAAGCACATGTTTAAGATTTGATAGAAATATTTTTAAATGAATTTTAGTAATTGTGTTTCATAGACTTAAAAAAAGGAGCAGTCTGGGGATAGAGCTATATTTATAAATACTTGGTTGGATCATTTAAAATTTAAAAGCAGGTGCCGCTATATTTATAAATACTTGGTTGGATCATTTAAAATTTAAAAGCAAAAAAAGAAATGCCTGTGACAGAAAAAAATCATTAATCCTAAAATATAGCATAAATTCCCACCTAATTGAAATCATGTGTATATGCATGAATCAGTTTAATAGTTTTTATTATATAAAAACCACAATTTGAAACACTGTTTTCAGAGTTGGGAACATGGGCATTCCATTTTCCTACTGTGGAAGCAGCTTGCCAAAACCTTTGCTCTAAAAACATAGTTCCCATAATCAATGTTTACAAACTCTCTATAAAATGGATAAACTACAAAAATAATTAAATTATTGACATCATTTTGATGACTAGAAGTGATCAGATGATATAAACCCCTTGCTTCCTTGGGAAATATACACACAGATAAGATGACCAGAAGAGTGGAATTCATCCTTCCTTATTAATTTTTTGGAATAGTTTATATAGTATCATTCTTAAAGCATCTTCAGCTTTTGAACAAAAAAAAGTCCACATTTGCTTTTTCAAACTCTCAAACAGAAATAAAATAGAAGGCAATGTAAAATTCAATCCATGTTAGTGGAACTTCATAATAAATTATATAATCCTTAGGTTTAGTAAAAAAAAACACAATTTCTCATCATTGTAAATACAGTGTTGAATAAACTTAGAGGAAATGCAAAAGATGCGGGAAGCCTGCATGGATAAGTAGTAAGTATACCTTGTTTAGAAAATGCCCACCCAGGAATAGAGGTAAAGATTCATAGGTACAAAGAATCTAACAGAATTGAGATAGAAGAGAATACAGTCCATATTGATATGCCTTTATTATAATTTCCCATAATATAATAATCTTAAAAAATAGGATTTAAAGTAGTTCACAACTTCATAGTTAATTTTTTTAGCACTTGAATTTCCTGCATCTTTTTTAATCATAAAATCTTAGCAAGAGTAACAATAAAAAATTATACAGTGGGGCCTTGACTTACGAGTTTAATTCGTTCGAGACCGAGCTCCTTAAGGAGCTCGTTAACTCAAATTACTCTGTCAACTCAATGCAAAAAATCGGCAGAGAGACAGCTGGTATCTCAAAAAACTCGTTAGTCCGGACACTCGTAAGTCAAGGCCCCACTGTAGTTAAGCCCTGGCCGGTTTGGCTCAGTGGATGGAGCGTTGACCTTCAGACTGAGGGGTCCCGGGTTCGATTCCAGTCAAGGGCATGTACCTTGGTTGCGGGCACATCCCCGGTGGGGAGTGTGCAGGAGGCAGCTGATTGATGTTTCTCTCTCATCGATGTTTCTAACTCTCTATCCCTTTCCCTTCCTCTCTCTAAAAAAATCAATAAAATATATTTTTTAAAAAATTATAGTTAAAATGTTTATTTTAAAGAGTTTTCTTACATCACTGTTTCTTTTGCAGTCACAAACTGGACCAGCACACTGAAAGACAAAATTACAATTATTACCACATTTTGTAAAACTGAATTTTAATTGTATCATATTAATACCATGTTGCAATTATAAATCAAAATAATTTAGTATAAAAGTAAGATTAAACATCAGTCTAGCCAGCCGTGGGCAAACTACGGCCCGAGGGCCAGATCTGGCCCGTTTGAAATGAATAAAACTAAAAAAAAAAAAGACCGTACCATTTAATGTAATGATGTTTACTTTGAATTTATATTAGTTCACACAAACACTCCATCCATGCTTTTGTTCCGGCCCTCCGGTCCAGTTTAAGAACCCATTGTGGCCCTCGAGTCAAAAAGTTTGCCCACCCCTGGCTAGCCCATAAAAAAGAGAATTATTTTATCTTTAGAAAATAGCAATACTTATCTACACTACCATTTGAAACGATAACATTAAATTTTTTTTATATTTATTGATTTTTAAAATCTTTGAAAAAAAAAGGAATTCATAATTTTGTTTCAGTGTAGTGGCACTGAAAATTTAGCCTCTGTATAAGATTTTACTTTTAACTTTTTTACATTTGAGAGTAAGTACATAGTAAAATAATTTAAAAAAATATATATCTTACCGGATCCCTGATTGATGTTTTGGTGAAATTCTCTATCCATGAATTTACATCAATTTTAATTCCAACAACTGAAAAATACATAAAAGAAAAATGGACATATATCTTTAAAAAATATACATATGATTCTCATATATCAATTTTTCTTCTCATATTTAAAAATTCCTGGCAGGCAAGTGTGAGTTTCTTGAGATTTAAAGGAAATCTAAAAGAAATCAATTTAATTTCAGCTATACATTGAAAAGTGTATTTGAATTAATTTAAAAGACTGTAATTTTAGCTGCAATAAATATTTGCTACATGATAATTTAGGTAATTTATATAATAGTATTGAATATAATGTTTGTTACAGAGATATTTCTCGGGGTTTGCATTAAGAAGTAATGCTGATAGCTCTTCATCTATCACATAAACTTCATTTATAGTCACAAAACAGCTTATTCATTTGCCACAACCTGGCCAATTAACTAATATAGCTGCTAAGCTAAAAAATGTGATAGTATTAAGAATAGCCTTATAAATATAAGGTCATTCAAATAGAATGTCTTAGGAGGCTTTCCTAACCTGGCCAAAGCAATGTATGCAATAGGTGATTAAGAAATGTTGGCTGAAGAGTGACTAGATGAGAAGATGAACGGTTGAGTGAGTGGAAGAATGATAAAGTGTCTGAGAGATAATTAAGTGAATAAAAGCAACTGAGCAAATGAAGGAAGGGTGTATTGGTTAGTAAGTGATGGAGTGAATCTAACTATGTAGTTGAGCCACTGAGGGATAAAACTGCCCTCAGGAGTAGGAAGGCAATTTATGAACCTTCTCCAGGTGGCCTAATACATGCTCTTTGAAATGGTCAAACAGCATTGAATCATACAATGAAAAAATAATAATTGTTAGATTATTGTCTACTCATTCCAGCCTCCTTCCAATTCCCATTAATCTTCAGTTTTATAAACTCTTTTGTTTGATTTCTTTTAACAAAAAAAAGTTATTTTCAACCTACTTTATTGGAAGGTTTTTTAAAAATACTTTTTATTGCATAGTTCTGCCATAATTTATCTTTAATTTATCTTTTCACCCCAACAACGGAAACTAAACTTTCCATGTTCACATCATTACAAATATTCACATCTTTGGCCATGTATCCTTCTGCATATTCGTAACTGTCTTTCAGGTTGGACTTCTTGAGTGGGATTGCTGGACCAATCCAGCATTTATAATTTTTACATATGACACTAAAGGGACTCCATAAATTTGTGCCAACAGCATATAAACATATATACTTTTTAGAAAATTCCTCAACTCTATATACTACCAATTTAATTTTATCCCCAACCTCAAAGAGAAGGGATTGTATTTTATTTTTTAAAACATTTGTCTGTCTGTATTTTGGTTGAAACTTTCTGATAAGCATTGCCCATTTTTTAATATAAATATTAGGTCACATTAATATTGGTCATGTGTATCTATATAATATATATTTATATATATGCTTACCTGCAGGTTTAAGAAGTTTTCCTTGGATATATATTTCTACCGCTTTGCTTACCATAATGCCTGATTCATAAGCACCAGGTCCACTTTCTAAAAAAAAGGTGGAAAAAAGACCTATCTAGATAAATCAAATAATATTGAATTTCTTTCAATACATGACTAATCTAGCACAGGTATATGCTATGCCAGGGTAATTGGAGTGTCCATGAATTGGTTTGCATTAATTGCCTTTGGGATGTGAACTATTCAGCTTGGCCTCATGCATTCCACAATGCAATGGGTGTATGCCAAACCTCTGCTTCATGACATTTGCTAAAATATTGGAAAGGCAGCTGAAGTGGAAAGATTGATATTAGATTCCCAAACTGCCTTTGAATTTTTAGAAGATAATGTCCCTGGACAAAACTCTAAAATTTTCTGAACTTCAGTTTTCCCATTTGTGAAAATGAGGATAAATAATATCTATCCCCAGAGAGGCTGAGTAATTAAATTAGAAAATTTGGGGGAAATAACAATAATATATTTTAAAATATGGCTACTATTAATTCCTATACTTAATATATTTAACAAACTAATTAGAGTGCAGTAAATCGATTAATTACATTTTTAAAAATTAAGCATTTCGATATATTTTCAGTTTGTGAAATGAAGGTTTATCTACATGTTTCTAGTATTATGCATGCCTGTAGATAAGCTGCTTCTACATTACTGGATGCATTTTACCTCCTCAGTTAAATAGATGCTTCTGTCTTTCCAATGTCAGCACATCATGTATACTTAATAATGACTATTCTGAACAATTAACTTATATTTTGGGGGAGTAATGCAAGTAGTAGCAATAATTTATTATTTTTTAATTTTAAAAGCTAAATTCCAAGAAATACTTACTGTTAAAGTAGGGAGCAGTGAAAACATAGTTATCATTATCAAGACTCCTTTTATAGAAGCTGTCCTCATAGGTTTCTGGATTTTCTTGCCAATTTTCTCCAGCCCTAAGGAGGAAATGGCTCATCATTTTTAGTCTTTTATCTACCTGATAACCTACTTTTCCCTTTGTGAACAAAACCAAAACTTACAGATATGTCTACATCTCAGGTATGCCCACGCAAGTTAGTGGTAATTGATGGGGTATATGATACTCATTATTAAGTGATACATCAGCATTGAATTTATAGAAAAAACTGACTCCTAGGTTTTACTCTGCCAATTACTAACAAGGTAATTCTGGACAAGTCAGTTAATAGGTCAATTAATATTAATAAGCCTGCCCAGCCCACTTTATAGACTGTTCTGAAGATAACAGAGGTAAGATTCATTGAAGTACAGTGAAAACAATGAAGTGCTATTCAAATATAGTTCATAGGCTATAACCATTATGTTCATTTGACTAGGTTAGTTTGTACAAAGAGAACCATGTTTTTAAAATATCTTAAATTATGTAATATGTATGATAAGCAAATACATTACTGAAGAATCATATAGCATTTTTAAAGAAATGAAATATTTTGTAAATACTTTAAACAATGATTACAACTTCATGTATGAATAATGATCAGTCTCTGAAGAATGGCTTCCTCATACAGTAATGAACAGATTCTTGCCGTAGTCTTTTGTAATGCACTTATTTTTACAGATGTTATTTGAACTTACTCTTTGGGATAAACCCTGGTAATCCCACCATCAGTCACAACAAACCGAGCTTTCACTCCCTTGCTGGAACAGAAGACAGAAGGAGGAAATATTTTATTCAACTTACTCTCTGAAAGGCACTGATTTAGGTGTTGGTGATACAAAGATAAATAAAACTATTTCTTAAAATACAGATAGCCAAAGTAGCCAAAGTAAATATATCAATAGATGCAACTATGTTTTAATAGTTAAGACATCTAAGAAATACATAATTAAAAGGAAGGACGCTTAAGGAAGACATATCATAGGAAAAGAATAATACAGCTGAATTTTGAAGATGGAATAGGAGTTAACAGGGATGACAGAGAAAGCTAGTGAAGAGTGATTGTATCTGGTGTGATAAAAGCAAAAGGCACAAGGTGAGAAATATAGGAAGTCAAGTTTTGAGTACAAAGTTCTAAGAATGGTCAGCTCACGAATGATCTTGAAATCCATGTTGGAGAGTGTCACCTTTAGCCTAGAATTGAAACTGCATTTTAAAAGTAAGACTGGCAAGTGGTAGTTACATGGAGAATATAGACTGGAGGCTGTTGTAGGTAGAGGAATGGGACGTATTAAAGGCATAAAAATCAGTTGCTGCAATTGCTTAAAAACTGGAATTGGGACTTTGTGTATAAAGAGAGGAAAACATTGTTAGAATAAATATTTAGCACTTGATGATTGATTGGAAATGGGTGGAGGAGAGACTGTAAATGAGAACCATCGTCAGATCTGTCAGCTTCTTGACTGGGTACATGGTAGGAAACCTATTTTACCACATGTAGAAGCACACACAAACATGCCTATTCACGTCAGTGTACACACTGTATGTAAAGCTGAGTAATGGCAGGTGTTATTCCTCACATACACCCACAACTGCAAATGCAAGTTGTCAACAATGGCAAAATGATTTTCTCAATAAATTGTTATTAAAGATAAACTTTAAATTTGATGTTTATTTCCAGACATTCCCCAGAAAGATGCTAAACTGAAAAGGAGGACATAGTTTTTAATTAATAAGAACAATACTTACATGTTTTTCTGCTTACTCCAGTAATTTTGCACCAGTTCACTTGTAAAACCTGCATCCAGCAAGACCCGATTTATCAAATCTGTGTTACCTAACACAGAAAAAGGAGACCCTCAATGACACCCACATACTTTTAAAGTTAAGATAATGAGACAAATATATTATCTATTTCTAAAAGCAATTTAGAATGAAAAATATTTCCATGAATTTTAAAATAAATCCTATATTTATTTTCTGCATTTTTTCATCTTTCCTTGACTTTTTTTAGGCTATGGACAGAATTAGTAGTGGAAAAGCCAATTCTAAATGAGGCAACTTATTTTTAAAACTGCATTAACAAGATATATGAAATATGCCAATCAAGAAATAATGAAGAAATAGTATTCTCTTTTGTTTTTGTGTAGTGATTTCAAACTATCATCATTTCATGGACAATTCTATATATAACTATAATAATACATAGTTATATAGGTTTCTGTTTGTTTTGGCCAAGGAACATAAATTATCACACACCATCTCCATTCCAAGACTAGCTTTTGGAATCTACTGATATTAGTGAAGGATCCTATCAGCTCAAGTTCAAAGGTAATGGGAAGGAAAGATAATAAAAATCAAGGGTCAAATTAATACACATTTTAGAAACACTTTTTCTTCATCCTTTTCTTCAGGATCCTCTGCTCTAAGCCCATGATGCTGTGAATAACCTGTAAGTAGCCCCTGAAACTTCATTCATATCAACATTTCATTTTATTCAGGTAAGGAACATATGGTTTTAATTACGCTATTACTACAAGAGGTGGGGGGTGAGATTAGGCTGAAAAATCTTAGTTGGTTTTAATTATTTTAATTTTTAGGAAAAATAGTTAAGATTTTTTAAATGTTTTAAAAGCTAAGAATTCATAAATCTCTATCAAGTTTCATAGTATAATGATGCAAATTTTCTCTAAAAGACAAATGTAATAGTTAAAGACTACTAAAATTTCTTTTATCCCAGTTTTATTTACTTCATAAAATGGGAAAATATAGAAACATATTTTCAATTACAAAGGTAACTGTGATCAAAATAGAATGTCAACAAGAAAACAATTAAGTAATACTGTTTTTTTATTCTATTCATAGTAAAACTCATTATATAAATTGGAAAATATGTGTTATATGTTTGTTTTTCTCTAAATAGCAAGAACAATGCAATGAAAAACCTTCAAAAGATCATTCAAAATTAAGCTTCTTAAATTTGAAAGGAGCAAAGGTAAGCATATCCTAAACACTTGCAAGTATCTATTTTCTGGCTTTTGAATTTTGATTTCATTTAATAATGTAATAACATTTCTTTACTAGGGTCATATTGTTAAATTTTACCATTGACATTAACATTTTATAAAGTAAATAAACAAACCAACATAACAAATTAAACTGAACCAGGATTTGACCACACTGAAACAGTTATTGTGAATTAGTGCATACTTACAGGATGGATTGTTTGGAGTTTTTCTATCAATAAACTCATTGAAATTTAAAAGAAATTCAGTGTTATTATCTGATATTTTAAGGTCATTGCAGTAATCTCTGAAAAATATTTTAAGATATTGGTTATTAAAATCAAAACATTAAAAATGTACACATAATCATAGGAAGTGGAAACACTTTTTTTTTACTAGCTATATGACTTGTAAGTCATTGATTTTGTTACCTCTATTTCCTCATTTCTACATCAAAATAATACTTTGACAATAAGTGGTATTATAGATACACATATTAAGCATTTGACCTCTGGATAGCATATGATCGATAAATGCTAGCTTTTGTATTCTTATTATATTATTATCACTATAAGATGTAGGTTTACAGTTTTCATATAGAAATTGAGAAATTTTAAAACATGTATTTTCTCTCTAAATAGAAGAATACTGGTAAAACCATTATGTTAACATTTCTATGAGAAATTACTGTTTTTAATTAAAACAATAACCTATTGGAAAAAGTAGCATTGATTTAACTATAGTCAACTGCAAGATTTTGTTTTGGCACATAAAACAATGCACTATCTTATACTTTAGCGAATCTTTTTGCATCTATGATTTTGTAACATAACTCAGTCACTTGGGAAATATGAGTTATGCAGGTCTTCCAAATGATGACACATTTTATACAATACTGAAAATGCATATTCATTAATATCATCACTGATGTCATCAACAGAACAGTCTAAATATGGGAACACTCATAGTAATAAATTCAACTTTACCAATTCTAATTTTTGTTTAAAAGCTCAAATTTTTGGTCTTGGCAACAAAAACTCTGTCATTTTTTTTCAAAGTAAAAGGCTGATATGTTTGATTTTTGAGAAAAGATTTTCCAAATACCAAAGTCATTCTTTCAATTAAAATGATAGTTCATAAAAAAAGAAAAACACCAATTTTAGCTCTCAATTCAAACAATCAGACAAGGGTTTCTCTTTGAGACAGCCTGGTGACTCTGACATGCCACTGAACTTCCATATTCACCGCAGGGAGTATTAAAGGACATATACTCAAGGGTAAAGCTTCAATAAAATTAATTCTCATTCCTTCCATCAAGGACATTTTTAAGAACAACTGGCTTTTTTCCCTGATTGGGTGCCTGGCAATGAAGATTGCAATGACTTCACCAACTTAGAAGCTGAACTCAAGGTATTAGAAGAACTGAATAAAATGTTGCAAATAATTATTAAAAACCCATTTTTAGAATTCTAAGTTATTATTTAAAAGGCATTTCTAAAATTACATTTACTCATTTAATCCTAAAATTCACTTTATCAGAAAGTATATAATACTTCAAAGGTGAGGAAACCGAGACTCTAGGATGTAAACAGGTTTACTCAGAGGGTCCTAACCAGCAGACGGTGAAGCCCTGAGGAAGAGCCCAGTCTTCACATCCCTAATTAGTGTGTTTTAACCATACAAGGTGCTTTGAACTTCCACTCTGTGCACTTCTGCTACTGCATAGCTCCAGGCCAAAAGCAACTTTGACCTCTACCAATAGAAGGCATTTAGTGTGGTGAGCAATTAATTTAGACAGTGTCATCCTGTGTGTGTGTGTGTGTGTGTGTGTGTGTGTTTATACTTGCTGGTTGAATTGTGCTGCATTTTGAAATAGTCTAAAGACATATTGACTACGTCTGATTACAATAAAAATCAGAGTATCAAATAATAATCTGATTTTTACTAATAGCAAAAGCCAAAAAGTGTTGAAAGTACCCTTTTAAGGAGAGTTGTGGAATGAGGATGGGAACAAAAGTGAAAGGTTTTTAAAATGAAAATGTGAGAAAATACAGAATGTTGTGTCAGTAGAATGAGTCCTTTAGTAATAAGATGATCCAGGACCACAGGAAATTACCCACCATGAGGAGTGGTGCATATGCTACAAGCAATAAGTAGCAAGAGGCTGATGGTAATATTTGAGAGGCGAATATGGGGTTAGACAGACAGCATTGATGTTGGTTGTCTGTTAGCCTAATGGTTATTCAACACAGGCCTGGGCGCTTAAGGACTCAAGATAATCACTCTTTCTCAGGTTCTTTTCCCAAAGGAATCACACATGACAGTGGGTAGCCGAACAATACCTGTCATTACCAAAACTTCTAAATTCGTCTCTAAAGACGTGTGGGAATACCTGCTCATATACCTTCTATGAGGCACTGTTTCTCTAAAAGGGATCAAGTTTACAATATTGATCATTGTTAATTTCTTTTAGGAAAATGATTCCTCAGAAAAGTAAAGCAGCAAGGTGAAGGAATATTTGCATGACTTTAAAAGAACAAACTTCAATTTGCTGAAAACACTTTCAGGGCATGAAAGTTATAATCTCTTTTGGTCACATTCTGTGACCAAATTAGGTTGTAATTAAAAGGCATTGAAACTACAGATCTTTAATATTAGAAATTTGGCAAATTACTTCTAGAATACTGAAAATGACTTTGTTCTGTTCAACAACCTTAAATAAGTCACAGATAAGCACTGAACTTTAGCCTATCGCAAATTGTTATTTCTCAGTCTAACTCATCTTCTTTGAAGTGCCTTTCTTATTTCTGGACATCCAAGAAAGACAGCAAAATTAATCTATGTTTTAGACTTTTCATTCCTATGACTGTATGCCTCTTTAAGGCAGGAATGTTCCGTGCATCTAAATTCAATGTTTTCCTTTTGCAGTAGTTTTAAAATTGAGGAAATGACAAAAACTGATTAATCATGATCAAATAGCTTAATTTATTGAAGAATTAACAAAATGGCTATATATCTTTAAAACTTGCAAGCTTTCTTCTTTAAATTATTTTAAAATAACTACTTTTGAATACCCTTTATTAAATCCTTCTTCCTCTCCTTCCTCTTACTACAACCATAAATAATAACTCATATTTATTTAGAGCTCATATCTTACCAAGAACTTTGGTATATACTTTGCGTGCATAATCTCATCAAAAGCTTATACAAACTCTGCAGTAGGTGTTAGGGATACAACATTTGAAAGCAAAGAGACTAAGGTGCAGAGAATTTGAGTAACACGCCATAACAATGAACATATGGGTAACAGACCCAGACAGTCTTGCTCTAAAGTTTGCTACACTGTTTCTCATTAATAACAGTGACAAAAATATATGACTGCTGTCCTATACTACATAACTTTCTGCCTTTTCTTGCCAATTATTCTTTGTCCCAATTTTTTAATCACCTTATTTTTCACAATGCTTTGAATACACATTCAGTATTAATGTTCTCGGGAAACCTTGCCTACAAAAATATTTTACTCGGATATACTGAATGTTCTTTTGACATCTATCAGCATTTGTATAGTCAATATATACTCATATCTTGGAGTAAAGAGGGAACTATTATTTCACATCTCTAAAACTGTTTCCTGATCTGTGAATTGGGACAATAACACTAATTTATTATAGAGTTCTTTTGAGCAGTAAATATACTTATGCATGTAAAGGGCTTAACATGTGTTAATTGAGGTGTCACAAGTCATAACAACATGGCTTCCCTTCTCTGGTGGATTTGCTCCATCCCTAAGCACACAGGAAATTTCCAATCTTCCAGTAAATCATGTTGATACTGAAGATGACTTAGGCCACAGAAATGGCCCACTGGCTAAGTCCTTGCTGAACTAAATAAAGTCCTTTGCTTACCAATCGGGAATTGAAATTGAGACATATTTATCCTCTCTGTGAGTGCCTGTTACCTATATTTTCCATCTTGTATGATGGTGAAGCACAGAAGCCAATCAGCAAGGTCTGCTATGTAAGGTCTTCTATAAGGTGAATATATACAAATGCAAATATATAATTCTTCATTCTTGTTGCCTGGTTAGTTGCAACAAAAGCAAAGCCTACATCTGTCTTGTTTACCACTGTATCCCCACATCAGCACAGTGCTTAGCACATAGTAGTTGCTTAGTAAATCCCTGAATGAGTAAATGAATGAGTTAGCAGGATTCTTTTCCTTTTTAAAGTTGTTGTTCCCTTTGGTTCCATAATTTGGCATGAAATTAACCCAGAGCAGCAGTCTTGACCCAAATTCAGAACTGTTATCATTCATATAAGCTATAAAAATAAAATAAAACCAAACCAACCTTGGTGCTAAGAATGTATAGCCAGATTCTTCAAAATTATCCGGCTTCAGTGTCTCTGAATCTGCAAAGATAATGTTATAGGGTTAGATAAGCAATCAAGAATATATATCCTGAGATTCTATGGCAATAAGAAGGCATTAGAAATATAATCTAATGAGAAAATTAAAATATGGTATGTATATCCTAAACTGAAATACATCAATTACTACAAATGTCCTCCATACTTAAAAAAATAAACTTTAATTTTGTAACATAGATTATAACAGTTTTGTCAGAGAAAATGCTAAGTTTATAACTTTCCCATTTACTAGCCATATTCTAACCAAGATATTCTTTAATACATAACAGGTATTTAAAATGTCAACATAAAAACTTTATGAATATTATGGCAAAGAAAATGATTTTAATAAACCAACTAATGCCTTAGTGAATTAGTAACATTTTTCACATTAGTATGAATTAGTAAGTAGAAGGATAAAACACACACAAATATTTAAGTCTAAGACAAAACTTGAAACAGGCTCCATTTGAAAACACAAGCATATTCTTTCCCCGTTTTTGGCTGCTAAGGTTTGAGTGATCATGGAGGAAAATCTAGCAAATGAGAAGCACAGAGGATAATATCCATTAGGAATGGAAAGATCAGTGGAAATGTCAAGTGTACTAAACAGAAAAAAAGTTGAGCAACAAGAAAATACTTGCCCTTCATTTTGCCCTTTTTTGCTGTGAAAATCCATCAGAAAGAGAAAGCAGGGAAACAAAAAAAAGAGGGTAAAGCAAAGGGGGTCACAAACAATATTTTATTCAATGACTTCCTTGAATAAAAATATTGCGCATAGATCAAAGGTTCATTATGTACAGCTGTAGTCTGGAAAAGAAGACACATCTTTTTGGAGACTGGAAAGTATGCCCCGTCAATTACGACTAGAGCATTCTATCTGCACTGTGGTTATTTCAAGGGTCTATTCTTCAAAGTGGTTAATGCAGGTGCAATACCGATGTTAGCCTATAAACAAACCATTTACCAATCATCAAAGACCCGCTAGTCATCCCCTCGTTTATCCAGTGAAGAACTAGCTCATGCAAAGTTACTGGTTGTGAAAAGACCATCACACCTATCAAGTGAAAGTGATAAAAATGTATAAAATACCACAATGTACTTTGAGAACCAGGACTGCAGAGAGCAAAGAACTGACATAGAAATGAAAGAATCTAGTTTACTTATTCTTAAGATTCCCGATTTCCGATATAAAAGATATATGTAAATATGTATACATTTTTTACTTTATTGTACTCAGAAAAATTTAGGTTGTAATAACTGAGCCATGTGCAAAGGATATGATGGTCATTTTACTTTACTAAATCTAGTCCCCCAAAACAAAATAAAGATTAATAATGATTTGAAATATTCACTAGTGTTAATAATTACTCCACATTCCAAATGATACTTAAAAGAATTCATTTAAGTTACTGAAGACATTAATTTTGATTATAAGAAAAAGTCAATCACCAAATCAAAACCAAAGACCAGTGCAATCTAATATTTTCCAACAAAGTAGAACATGTGGAGCACAATATTATTCTTGCCAAAAGCAACAACAAAAAAAGAAAAAAGAAAGAAAAGGTAAAGCTTTACTCGCACAGTGCCATGAGCAGAGACTATGTGAAACATCTTGCATCAGCTAGCAGACCCTTCAAACAACAGCAACAGAGGACACAGCACTGCAATGATTCTATGAGCACGAAGCGAGGCGGGAAGGGTGGTGGGGACTGCCAGTGAGACGGGAGTACCTGCTCATATTCTATCCATGTAGAATATTTCTTGTTCCTTGCATGTTTGGAATGGGTTAGAATCATTGCTGTAGATTTGGTCATAACAGCTACTAGAATGGATAAGCCTTGGGTATTCCAAAATCTAGACGTCTTTAAACATTTGATACTAGAAGATAGTAAAGGGACCCTGAAGTTGCTTTCACAGTACTTACATCTGGCCTGAGTTATTGTCTCTTCTATTTTGGCTTTTATATAGTAAAAACTGTAGGTTGGTAATACCAAGGCCAAACTGCAATAGAAACAAGAGAAGCATAAACACAAACAAACAAAAACGAAACATAAAAAAAACAAAAAACCACCACACGTCAAGTTCATGGGAAATCCAAAAAATCTTTTTCATGGGAAGGAAAAGACGTATTACTGTGACAGTAAAATGCATTCTGCTAATAGAGTGTTTAATTGGATCTTGCCATCCTGAGTCACCCAGTTCTCTACATTATAGGGGATCAGAAGACACATGGAAAATAAGCTTCTAAATATGCCTATAAATTAGCTGAGAAAGAAATGTCATGGGTACTATATTTCCAGAAAACACTGTTGAGTGTTGAAAAATATAGAATAATACTGGAGTATGTTTAAACAAAGCAAATAAAATTGATGAATTAAATATAATGTTAAAGTGCTTTGTAGCAAATATAGGCTATTAAAAATTACAAATGTAAGTATTATCATTTCCATTACACAATTTACATAATCATCAGAAATATTAAAAATCATTTTCCTTTCATTTTAAAAATTTAACTGTATTGTTGAAAGTTATGCAGATGTACCCTTTTCTCCCCATGGACCCCTTCTAGCCCACCCCTTCTCTACGCACCCACCCCAGGTCTTCACCACACTATTGTTTGTATCCATGGGTTATTCATCTAAATAACTACTATTTTAATACTCTAATCTTTAGACAAGTAAGAGAGTCTGTTAATGGGAAAATTCAGATTCCTTTATAGCACTGAAAAAGATTCCCTGCTCATGCCATTGGTTCTTACCCACTACTTCAAATTCATTTATTGAGGATATTCCACAGCACTTGGTAAATTGCTGTCAGGTACAAAAGGGCATACATCTTGAGCTTAGTACGTTACAAGAGTCATGGGATACTCTAAACGTATAGATGTACAAACTAGAGGACAGGTCCTGTGCAAATCTTAAACCAAGTTCAGAACGATTTAGACACAGAAAAGCCTATCTTCAAACTTTGTCTTAGTAACTGAACAAAATAAAAAGCTGACAGGCAGGTAACCTTGCTGTTTTGAAGTTGCCAATTAATAAAACACATAATGCATTAACACTGAAAAGATGTCAGAACATTTGAATATTATGCAATTTCCAAAAATACCACTGCATGTATGAAATTCTTTTATTCTTACACGGGCTAATATACATGCATAGGACATTGCTAATTATTTCATATTTACATTTGCTGTTGCAAATGGCTTTTGTAATTCTTTGAATATAGAAGGAAACTTAGGAACTAATGGGTGCAGATAATGAGGCAATCTCAAAGATTTCCGATGCAACTATTTTCCAAAAGTGAGGCTAGGTTCAGTTGATCAATTGAATCATTCAGGATTCGCCTTTAATATGTAATCTAAAATTTAGCAATGCACAGGAAAAGGTGTGCATATTCAGGCTTCTAAATATTTATAGACATTTTCAGAAGATCTTCTTTCAAATAACTCAAGCCTCATACCATGGCTTTTGGGATGAATGTCCAGTCAATATAGACAATATAGAACAGGAAAAAATACAAAATTCCAGGTTTTTCTTCTTATAAATATACACGCAAAAAATTAATTCTACGAAGAATAAAGAAGCAGTGGTTTATTTGCTACAATTTAACTGTTCAGTCAAGGTAGCAAAATGGGTGGATGCTTGCTACCTCCAGTTCTCAAATCTCTTACCATCACTAAGTAATTCACAGACTTTCCTTATGGGTAAAGGTCAAAGAAATAAAATGTTATGTAGATTTAATGCAAATCTCTACATTCATTTTATAGGTAACTTCCTTTAAATGGAGGCAGAGATTAAAATTAAAATAAGCAGTGCAATTAGCCTGAAAGCAAGATGACCTTTCATGATTCACTTGCCATTTATAAAATGTGGAGCAGAATTACTGAGCATTCGAAGATCATCTCCTAAAAATTCCTCTCCAGGGAAATTAGGACATTTTTACTACCCCATCAGCATTTATTGCTAAGAGAAACTTCTAATTAAAACCGATAACATTATATCATGTGGTTACACAGTGTCATTCTGCAAGCTTGTGTTACATCTCATGCACCATAAAAAATAGTGTGGCAAGCCTCAAGGGACACAATAGTTTTAAAAGCGACATATTAAATATATGTCTGGCCTGGAAGTCTCAGGTTGTTATTCGTGGATACACACTATTCTGTAGAAAAACATAGTTACATTTAATTATTTCCATCTTAAGGCAACAGTTATTTCTTCAACCTGCAGCAGATAAGATCTTTACCAACATTCCCAGTCAACGATGCTCTCATATACAGCGTTTGCTGTTTCCCTCCATATAAAACCAATAGGCCAAGGCGGCTTTATGTTCTCAAAGGGATTAAAGTCCAATAAATCCAGTGGCCACAAGATGGATGTTAGATCCCATGTAATATTTATGTGACTCACATAAATCTGATTAACTAGTTAAGTAGAATGTAACACTTTTCAACTCGAAAATGTTTCACTACAAACCATTAATGCTGAGATAATTCTATTAATATAATTAATTACTATATCTCAAAATGTATCTAAATTATATCAAGGCTTAAGGAGACAAAAATCACTAAGTGAAATTTGGTACCTCATTCATTAAATCAACACATGCCATGTTTCTTTAATATAGATGTAACATTTTGTTCTAAATTGGCATTTATGAATTTATTTGTACAGAGATTCAGAAAAGTACTTATAATGGAAAGAGATGGAATCTGGCTCAAAGTTGTAGGTTGGGGAAGGGAATGAATGATGCAAACATGCAGAAGAAGGGAAGATTGGCTATTCAGAGAACAGTAACTTGTATGGGGAGAGCAGTGGGAGAAAAGACAGTGTAGAAATATGCGACGTGAATGATCAGAATTGGAAGTTGAAATTTTACTTTCATGAAAATGAGAAGAGACTACATTTCTATAAACAAGTAATATGCTCAACCCTGCAGAAATAAGCATTAACCTGTCCACACTGTGTGTTATGTCTGGATGTGTGAGGAAAAGGGCTGAAGGTAATGGACATTTGAGAGTCTGTTACAGATACATTTAGGTAATGTATCAGGCGAATTAAAAATACCCCCGAAGTATAATTCTGACTGCAGTAGGAACAGCTCTGACTGACAACTCATTGTCAGGATCAAAAGGAAACAGTTTTTCATATCTACATTTGCTGTTGCAAATGACTTTTGTAATTCTTTGAATATAGAAGGAGACTTAGCAACTAATGGGTGCAGCTAATGAGGCAATCTCAAAGATTTCCGATGCAACTATTTTCAAAAAGTGAGGCTGGGTTCAGTTGATCAATTGAGTCATTCAGGATTCGCCTTTAATATGTAATCTAAAATTTAGCAATGCACAGGAAAAGGTGTGCATATTCAGGCTTCTAAATATTTCTAGACATTTTCAGAAGATCTTCTTTCAAATAACTCAAGCCTCATACCATGGCTTTTGGGATGAATGTCCAGATTGTAATCTCATTACTTTTTCCTATGGACAATATAGAACAGGAAAAAATAAAAAATAAAAATTCCAGGTTTTTCTTTGTATAAATATATGTGCAAAAAAATTCATTCTACGAAGAATAAAAAAGCAATATATTTGTGCACCTAAGGAATAAAGGCATAGAGTGCATTCCCAACAGCACATCCAATACTTTGTTTTATCATAAAATCATCTCTAAAGAGATAGGGCTCCTTGCCCTGGCCGGTGTGGGTCAGTTGGTTGGAGTATCATCCTATACACCGAAAGGTTTTGGGTTTGATTCCTGGTCCACACATACCCAAGTTGCGGGTTCAATCCCTGGTCGGAGTGCATGTGAGAGGCAACTGATCCATGTTTCTTTCTCACATCAATGTTTCTCTCTCCCTCTCCCTTCCTCTCTAAAATCAATAAAAATATATCCTCAGGTGAGGGTTAAAATAATAACTATAACTATAATTAATATAATAATAATAAAGAGACTGTGCTCCTAGATTTCTTCTGTGCTGTTACACTTTCTGACAAATTCATCAAAAAAAAGGGGGGGGGGGAAGCTGGCAATAGTCATAAAAGAGAAAGAAGTAATGACTTTTGTATGTAAATAAAGATTGTGTATATGTAAAGAGATGCCTAATAGAAATGAGAGAGAGAGAAATCAGTAGACACAAGTAAAGTAATTAAACCAGTCATTCTCGTGTTTCTCAATAGATTCAAAAGTATGTAAAAAAGCAAAAGCAAAAGTGGAGAAAGACTGGCAGGTGCTGTTTCAAGACATTAATACCTATGTTTTCTTCTATATCTATTCTGTATGCCCTCCTAGGAACACAAAAGGCAACAGTTTCCTATTATAACAACACTGCAGTTCTAGGGAAATCCCCAGCACCTATAAATATTTACAGAATGTCTACCATGTGCCACTGTCTCACGAGCTGGGGATTTAAATGAAAAAGGCAACAATCTTAGAATCTATCACTCTTATAGGGTGTTACTGTGTCCAGTTTTACAAGGCCCAGTCAATTGGAGAAATTAGTATGTTGCAAAATTGCTACTCTTGGGGGTAAATTATATCAATTGAGCATTTTATATCAGATCACACTATGATGTAATAAACATTATTTTTAAGTTAATTACAACCTAAAATGTGAATAATGTAAACTAATTTATATGAGGAGGTTAGTGGAGGTGACAACTACAAATTAAGGGCATATTGTCAACATTTATTTTTACTAACATAAATATATAAAATATCAAATATATTTATATCACATGTCATTTCTAAATTTTATATTCCTAGCTTTTCCCTATATTTTCCACTTTGAAAAAAACCAACACAGCTATAACTTTGAACATTTTAGTGTTGGAAAAGGTAACATTTCTATTTTAATTACATTGAAAATAGCTAATGAAAATGCAAAGACTTAATATTCATCCATTGGGAAAATCACTACTAAAATAGGTGAAAGACACTGAAATGAATACTTTTATTCAATATACATATAAATATAGTTAATTACCTGTAATCTGTTCCATTGACAGGGGTCCATGTATATGTCCTGTTTCCTTTGTCAATATATCTCTAGAAAAAAGTTTCACATGGTTATTCTCACATTTTACTCTATGTAAATTTACATGATGAGCAAAACATTGGGATCTATTTCTAAATCCAGTGGTCATTCAACATCCTTCCTCACAAATTTCTGATCTATTCTATGTTATAATGTTTATTCTGTTATGGATATAGGTATATATAAAGCAACATGTTAGGACAAAATAAACACCCACATGATAAATTTTAAAAACTTACAAGTGAAAATCTTGGCAATTTATGCCAAATTATTAACCCAAATACTTTAAAAACATTTCCTGAAAAATAAACTTTAATAATGAAATAGGACTGTGAAATGTTTGATAAGACTCAGATAATCCATACCAGAGTATGTTTAAAAGAAACGGTTATAATATCAGGAAATTAATGCAGTCAGTGTATCTAGATCCAAATGTAAGATTAGCATATTACTATTCTTATTAAGCCATTATTATAGTTTTATCTATCATGAGAGACTAACAACTCAGTATCATGAAGGTTGAAAAAACAAATCTACCAGGGAAAGGAAGTAAAGAGAGAAATAACCGCATGGATGTAGAATCTTTCATATGCAGCTGATGAACAATACTAAAGAAATTATTATTCTTTCTTCCATTAGATATAGTGATAACACATTCACATCTTGTAATTCTTTTAGTTATTTCCAGTTTAGTCATCCTCATCAGAACAGTAACAGTCACTGAAGTATTACTTGGAGTTAGGCAACATACCAAGCACTTTGCAGTCACTGTCTCATTTAATCAACCTCCTGGTGAAGATACTATTATTTTCCACAATTACTGATGAAGAAATAAATAAAGGGGACTTTAATTGAGAGGATGAAGGAAAATGTATGATGTCAAAACCATTGTATAGCAACTACACAATGCTGCCGCTATACATCCAACATCCCTTGGTTTTATTTATGTGAGTGGAGAGTGGGAGAATGGAGGAATGGAGTATTAAGGTTTTTGGACTAGTAAAATTCTTAAAATAACTTTTGAAAATAATGTTTACCTATTAGATACTGCTCAACAGACATGGCAAACTAGTGTTGTTCTGCAAGTTGTAAAAATAATATCATACTAGGAAACATACAAGATGATTTTTTTAATTATTAGTAATAGGAAAACTCTATAGGTGAATATTGGTCATAAAAATAATTTATAGTCAATTGAAGTAGGAAAATATCAAAGTGATTTAATAGAAACAAAAGTGATTTGTATCCAAGATCTGGTTGATGGAACAACATGGAAATGTTGGTGAAACTGGTGAATGGTACACATTTTTCCTGTAAGGAGTGAAGGGGAAAACAGCACAGCTAAAGTCTGAGTAAAGAGAATTGAAGTTTTAACAAAGACTGAAATTGATTTTCACCTCCCCTTAGGTTCTCATAATGGGGACTCTGAATGATATTAAAATAAGGAAAGCCACATGACACTGAAGGATCTATTCAGATCCTAGCTACATTTTAGGAAAAGATCTGCTGAGGAATTCAGGAGAAATCTTACATTTTAAAAGGATGCTATAAAGATTAAATTTCTAGGCTCAAAAGCTTCTGAGTTCTATATTTTTTTCAAATACTCAAATATATGAACATGCATTTACTCTACATGTGACTAATAACAGATAGGCATACTCCTCATATAAAGAATTCTTCAATGACAATGGAATAATAATAAACAATACATTGCATTACATTATTTGTACCAGTGACGTATGGGGGTAGTTGTGTTGTCTCCTGATTTAATTTCAGATTTTCAGGGAAATTATTATATAAAGTACATAAATAGTGCACTAAGATAAATCAAGCCAGAAATAAGTAAACAACCAAAAAATGTTTAAAATCCTAAATAGTTAAAATAACAAGAACATTTGCATTAAATTGTGCTTTATTTCTTATAATGATAAAAATGATAAAAATATTTCAAGAACATATAAGAATACATGAAAAATAAAATTAAATTTAAAAAAGAATAAAGAAACCCAAAACAACATTATTTTATAAAAATCCAAGAGTTAAAAATCTTATTGAAAGGGGTGGGTGTGGGCTAGAAGAGGTCAATGGGGGAAAAGAGGACTGATACAATACTTTCAATAAAGATTATAAAAAAAGAAAATATCCCTCCAGGAAAGAAGAGTACCTTAAAAAATTTGTTTACTGGAGACAACCCTGTTTTATAAATAAATATTGCTTTAATTAAAAAAAAAAGCCTAACTACCAATATCAATTATTATTGACATGTATGAGAATAAGCCTGACTTAATTCTTACCTCATCTTGAGATTTAACCAGAGTTCTGAAGGATTTTTCTCCACTTTCTCCATCTATCATTTTATTGCGAATCTAAGGAAAAATGAAAAAAATTATTTTATTGCATTTATTACTAATTGACCTACCAAAGTATGTTTATTAACATATTATACCTAATTTCAGAACCAACTGAATAAAAGTAGTAGGTTGCTGCTATTCTCTGGGAATACTTTTTTAAAAGCTATCACATTATAGTAAGTTTACATTATTTTTTAAAAATAAGAACATCCTTAATGAAATATTTTCAACGAAGCATTAATTCTTGAAATATAATCAATAAAGGAGTGGTCAATTACTTTATGTGGTCAAGGGGAAACTGAGATTTAAGAGTGGTGAAATAATAATTATAGTTACTCAGTGGCATGAGAGTCCAAAGACCAAGCTCCTTACTATTGCATAATCCTACTCTATCATGTCAAAATATTTTACAACAAATATTCTTTAACCACCTAAAACATCCCAGCATCAAACCTTGGCCTAGGATAATTAAAAGAAAGAATTAAATTCTATTGTAAAATGAGGAATAAAGCCGTAAAATGTGTAAAGCAAGTACAAATTAAAACACAATCTGACAAATTATGATAAGAGAAGGAGTTCATCCATCTGAAAGAATCTTAAAAATCTTTGCTCTGGAGAGCAATCAGCTTCAAAACCTGATTCTGCTACTTACCAGCTGAGTAACAGGAGACAAGCTAGGCAATGGAACCTTGTTGTACCTCGCATATCATCAGGACAACAGATATAATAACAATAACAGTAATAACAATAATAATACCTATTTCAAAGGCTCTTGAGAATCCATGACTTACATGTCATGTACTTAATAAATATCATTATTATTATTAATGATTATTCTTATCGTGATGGGAGACCCTCTCAGAGGAAGTGACATGCAATTCTGGTTTTGAAATTAAATAGACATTTTCTGAGGAAAGAGCACTAAGACAAACATGTCAGCTTCTCTACACATGTTGCTCATTGGGGGGTTGAATGGTTAGATTCCCTGCAAATTTCTTTCAACTCTATAGCAACATACTCCACATGTTTTTTTTTATTGACACTTACATGTTTCATTTGTGTTGAGATACTTAAAATATCTCTATCTGTGAAATGAGAAAGAAACAAACCCACCCAACTTAAAATATTTATTTCTTTTCATATGACCTTTTGGATAAGTGAGCCCAGGACCTAGAATTTTTTCAAGAGAAAACACATCCACATTTGTGTGTACAGTACCTAAGAGAGCACCCAACCCGTGGACGCTGCCCCATAGATACTTGTGGAATGGGTGATTCCAGCATTGGAGCGGAGGGTCCTGTTCAGGCCTCCTGATTACACTCACCTCCACTTTAATATCATTCTCTAATTCTGCATCAAGGAAATCCAAAGTTACTGGCTCCTGAGATTTGGGGTTCTACACAAAAAATAATAATAATTAAGCATATGTGACATTGTAAAATGATGCTATATATAGAATAATTCAATTAATATTTGAATGTAAAATTAACCTGTAAAGGTTACTTACCTAAGGTATAATAAAAATTACATAATGAAAATAAAGATATATTCTTTCATATACATATTTTTAAAAGTAATAATAAATAGGGCCAGAAATTTAAGCTTTAAGTGCAGCAAATTTTAATTAATCATCAGCTGAAGATACTCTTATGTTGAGCACTGAGTTAGATACTACATTTAGAACCACAAGCTCTGGGGGGAAATGACTTTGAAGATCCACTCAGAAGTTTCTCTTTAATTATGATGGAAAGGAGCAAAATATAGCCAAGTTAATAACATATTGAGCAATATAACAAAGGGAATATATAAATAATATCCTTTCTTATTTGTATCTGTAAAGTAATAAGAGATTAAATGAAGAAAAATAGTTTAAAACTATGAATTTGCTAAGCAGAACAAGTTCTACTAAATGTATTCTTCCTTCTTACAATGCATAATTATGCAAATTTCTTTCATGTATTTGAATCTCAGAACCTTTACATATATTTTAATGTCAGATTAAGTTTATTTAAGGAAAAATTTGTGGCTATGGCATAAAAAATCTTAATAAAGATTAGGTATTGTAATTGAAGTCTAACTAGAATAATGACCCCTGGATTCATTAAAAACTGTCCCTGCTTTAACATCTCCTACTGCTACTTCTTGCTGGTGTCCAACAATAAATAAAATTCATTGTGGAATAAGGAAGATTTTTTACTTATTTATATAAATATATCAAAATAAAAGTTAGCCTGGCTAATTCACCTCATATGACATTTTTTAAAAAGTTGTCAATTACAAAATGAAAAATTACTGAACTATTTGATAAACAAAAATATACTGATTATCTTAAACACTTGCCAAGTAATGCAACATGCCATAGAATTTCAAAGTTCACTAGGACAATGAAATTATAATAGGTATTTATAATTTTATAGTTGCAAAATTTTAGAAACTAGGTGTTTAATGTTTCATAAAATAAATACTGCTATATTATAATAATTAAGTAAACAGGAGTAATAAATACAAACTACACTGTATTATTGCAAGGTAAATAGAATTTGAATAATTTCAGCTTCACAGGCTCTTCCAAAATATATTCAGATTATTACTATTTTAAAGAATGTTTTAGGAGGACTGACTACCAAAGACAGCACCAATTATTAAAATGTACTGAAATTAACCATATTTTATTTATCACAAATGATGACAAATAAGTACACATGGCATATATTAATTTATAATTATAACAAAAAGGCCTTCTTTTGAAGAGTAACTCCATTTAAACAATGCAAGTTTATGATTCCCATGGGTTTTGATGAATGGGGATTTTTTTAAAGGCAAATTTACAAAAATAATCTCAACTGTGTCTTTCAATTTTATTGAAAAAATATTCACTGCTTATGAATTCAATATGTAGAATCAGAAGATTCTAGATAACTGAAAATAAGTATCAAATTGTTCAATACTGACCATTGTTTGGATAGCATCTTATTCGCTCAGAAGCAAATATTGATTTGAAATGTCACATATTTCATAAGAAGAAAATAAAAATCAATATTGAAAATAATTCTAATCCTTTCTTTAAAGAAACAGAACTGAGAAAGTCTCTAACAAAAGGATACTCTATAGTTGAAAATATTATTAAGAATTGCTTATTTAAAAGTCCCATGAAATAAATAATCTCCACACAAACACCATTATACCAGCATTAAAATTTTAATAAATTCACTGCAAAACAAAGTCAAAATAATCAAAACATAAATAAGAATATTATCTTACATGCAATGGATAATGCATAGCATGACCAGACCCAAACAGCATGCATGGAGGAGGCATTATCAGGAAGAATTGGCAATATGAAGATGATGTCCCAATCCAACATATAAAGACACAGAGAAGAAAACGAAATAATAAAAGAAAAATGTCAATGAATAACTTGTACTTTTTAAATGGCAATCTGGCTGACCATTTTTTGAAAGACCCATCATAGGCACAGTTATAAAAAAAATGCAAAAGTAAAATCTTCTAATAAGAAAGCAACAAGAGAGTCTTGAGAATTAGAATCAAGTTCCTCTACTTCCAATACTTTTGTTTTATATTTTAAATATCTAACATTTCTCATTTGTAAAATCTGAATATCAACTGACAGAATAACCACATAATTTGTGGAACTAAAATAAAATGCAATATTAACAAATTTTAAATTGAAATAATTAGTAGTTAAGTATTATTAAAAATACTACATACGTAGTTCAAAAAATATTCCCAAAATTCAGAAGTCTTGTGTGGTTGCTAGTTTGCCATTTGGGGTTTCCTTAAAGGAAAACAAACATAAAACAAACCACTTTTAAGGTTGTTTGTTTTAAAAATTATATCATAATATTACATGCAATCTGAAAGTACTGCAAGAATAATAATTCACTAAGATGTACATGACTGCTAAGATAATACACAGAAACATGCAAGAAGAGGAACATAAAATAATTTATCAAGACATAAGTATAATTTTAATCTCCATAGGAATCATAAAAGATATAAAGACTGATGCAACAAATGAAATTCAAATTGTCATGGAATTCGAGAGCTAGAAGAGAACTTCCTGAAGCCATTAATCTAGAGACTCTACACTTTAGAACAACCTGGGTTAGGTTAAAAACTATTCAGAAGCCTGGATTTCATCCCCTGCCAGATTAAATGAAATTTTCAGGAAATGGAGCCTGAAATATATATATTTTAATCTCCTAGGCAGATATACTGTGTGGGGTAGAAAATAATTATTAGTTTAATCCTCTGCTCAATTACTCAAGTTTACAGTGTTGGCTGTAAGTCCTACTTTTATAGCTCAAAGATTTCTTCTTAATATCACACTACTTCTCCATTATAGATGCTCCTTGAGTTATGATGAGCTTATGTCCCGATAAACCCATCATAAATTGAAAAGATTAAAAGTTGAAAATGCATTTAACACTCCTAACCTATGGAGCATCATACCTTCAGATAGGCTACTTTAAACGTGCTCAGAACTCTTAACATTGTTCAGCATCATGGGAGAGGATCCTACCATATCCTGCTAGCCCAGAAATAGATCAAAATTCATAACACGATTTCTACTGAATGCATAATGCTTTCACACCTTTGTGAAGTCAAAAAAATCCTAAGTCGAATCATTATAAGTAGAGACCATTTGTATTATGTCACCAACTTTCTTTTTTAAGAAATTATAAACTTACATTTAAAGCCTTAAATAATATTGAACTTTCTTTAACATTCAATTTTTTTTTATTAAACTGTACTAAATTACAGGAAGTATTCTTTTACATTTGTTATTTTTAAGGTACTTAAAGAAATATGCATACATATAATAAAATTTAAATTTTGTTGACAATAGAGAAAAATTTTGAGTTTGCCAAGCAATAACAATTCACAATGTTTATTTGTAATTTTAGACATCTTTAATTAGTTGAAGGGAATTTTCTCTAACTTCTTCTAAGCATATACTTTTAGAAAGTAAAACAAGAAATGTTGGCTTAAATTCTATGGCTTATAGAAAATATCACATCAGAATTGTATTTTTATTTCCACTTAGAAATGAATTTCACAAATTGTTAAGATTACATGGATTTGATACCAATTTCACAATGTTTAATAAATTTATCTTTAGAAGCCATCTGATTATGATTATGCTGATTGTTAACATTATTACCACTTAATTTGCTAGCAATTTTTAGTTAGCCAATGCATACCCTCTGCCACCATTAATAACATTTTGCTCCAGCTTATTGAGAAACGATGCTCATCTCCATCTCATGCTCTGGAAGCTTGATGTCAGGAAATGCAGCATTAATCGTAAGCTTTTAGAAAGAGAAGCTTAATTTCAACTCTGATTTAGCAAATTTGAAGGCACTGCTAATTTCATTCAGTTACCTGAACATTGGGTCTCCTTTTTCTTAAATTAATTGTTGGTATACCCACACCAATAGGCTAAAGCAACAGAAAGATGGTAATTCATCATGCTACAACTCAACATAGATAAGGGTTTTATCCTATAATCAATTGTGGTCATGTATTTGATTGATAAAAAACAGGTATTATAGAGTTCACGAAGAGTCAGTAAACAAAATAAAAGTTTAAAAATAAGGTAAGTAAAAAACTGTGTTTTTGTTTGTTAATCAAAATGACTGTTAATATTCTCTTTTTTTCCTACGAAAAAAGTGAGGAAGTTGTAAGTGAGAAAGATGATTTGTCTCAGACAACTTTCATGCTGATTAAGAAAAAAAAAAGAATGTATAGAATTTACATAATTCAAATGTGTTAAAATATAAATACTATAGGCTATTAAAAAGTCTTAACCCTTGCCCTAACCGGTTTGGCTCAGTGGATAGAGTGTCGGCCTGCAGACTAAAGGGTCCCAGGTTCGATTCTGGTCAAGGGCATGTACCTTGGTTGCGGGCACATCCCCAGCGGGGGCGTGCAGGAGGCAGCTGATCGATGTTTCTCCCTCATCGATGTTTCTAACTCTCTATCCCTCTCCCTTCTTCTCTGTAAAATATCAATAAAATATATTTTTAAAAAAAGTCTTCACCCTTAAAATTTGTGCCTTTGTTTTCTGAAGTAATACCAAATATATCTGAGGCACTAATGGATAATCCAATCAAAACACTATATATTTATTTTAAATATTGACTTCTTTGACACAGAGAATATACAATTTCCTTTACAATAAATACTTCTTGGGACTGATCAAAAGGAATTATCTAATATGTATACTTAATCTGATTATTTCCATAAAACAAAATGGAAAACAATTAAAATGAATTTTGAAATAAAACAGGAAATATAAAATTAGACTTTGACCTTGTTAAATAATTTTGGTTACTATAGGACATAATATTATTTTCCTTTTTATTCTATTGGTGAATTGCTAATGAAAAATTAGGATTAATTTTGTTAGCATATCTGCTGAAATTACCATATTGGTCCTTTGTATTTGTCAGTTTCTGAAACATTTGTCATATACTGTATTATCATCTTATGAGTTTCTTGTATCAATCTGTATAGCATACATCACCCACAAAATAGAAATTATGTTTAACTTTTAATAAGAATTCAAAACCATGAATTTAAGAAAAAAATACACTGTTTAACAATATTTATTTGTAATGGTTTCTAAAATAATATTTTTCTAAATGTGATTCTGTTGCATACTTGCTTTTAATAATTTTCTATATAAAAATACAAAAAGCTGGCCCTGGCCACTGTGGCTCAGTTGGGCATCATCCCACGCGGAAAGGTTGCCATTCAATTCCTGTTCAGGGCACATGACCAGGTTGCAGGCTTGAACCCCAGTAGGGGACCTGCAGGAGGCAGCCAAGTAATGATTCTCTCTCATCAATGATGTTTCTCTCTCTCTCTCCCTCTCCCTTCCTCTCTGAAATCAACAAAAATATATATTTTTTAAAAGAATATAATTTAAACCTTAGAAAAAAGGCATAAAGATTAGGATAAAAAGGTTTATGCAATTTTATCACTTCCCAATAACTCACAGATTAATAAACACTTCCCATTTCTGAAGCCCATCCCATGGAGTTTTACTTATTGAATTGCATACATATTTTTATAAGTCTATTCAAAAGTAGAAAAAAAAACACACCACAATCTTGGAGATGAAGAGGAGAGAGAATTACCAGAAGAAAAGGGCAATAGAAAACGTGGCCTATGCACTGAGGAACATTACTTATATTTATCAGATTCATGGGGGTCGACCGGGCGGGGGGGGGGGGCAATCTCCTTCACTTTCTTACAGCCTTAAACAAAGTCCCAAGTGGGACGTGAGGAACTCAAGCATGGGTGGTGATAATGGCTGTCCCAAGACAAGAATATTGATTAGCTAAATATTGGAAAGCTAAATTGGTAAGAGAAAATGAACAGTGCTTTCACATTTTGATATATTATAAACTGTGATCTTGTCATCTATTAATATTACAAATATAATGTTTCTTTCTATTTAGTGCTATACAGTGAATTCTAAAATAACATACCTATTAAGAACATTAATCATTAATTTTACAGGACACTAATCATTGTAAACAAATTATATACATACCTTTGGCTGAAGATTTGGATGTAATAAAACATAACCATTAGGATCAATTGCAAAATAATAGCCATTAGGGCACAGCTGCAAACAAACAACAATAAAAGTAAAAAAAAAATTAGATAGAGATTCCTAAGCCACAAGCAGAAATCCTCATTCTCCTTTTAAAATAAACCTTAAATACACATTTTAAAGCATGAAGAAAGATAACATGATATCTTTATTTTTTTATTTTAAGGATCCTTTTAACATTTAGTTCCTTCATTAATATAACTGTTGGATGTAATAAAACATAACCATTAGGATCAATTGCAAAATAATAGCCATTAGGGCACAGCTGCAAACAAACAACAATAAAAGTAAAAAAAAAAAATTAGATAGAGATTCCTGAGCCACAAGCAGAAATCCTCATTCTCCTTTTAAAATAAATCTTAAATACACATTTTAAAGCATGAAGAAAGATAACATGATATCTTTATTTTTTTATTTTAAGGATCCTTTTAACATTTAGTTCCTTCATTAATATAACTGCGCATAAATTTAAAAGTTATTTAATGCTTTATGGACAAGTTAAATTAACACAGAGTTTTAAGACAGAAAAGATACCAAAATGGTAAATTGCATCTTACTGTAAAGCGTGGTGTTAGTCTTTTAATATCTTCCAAAGACACATCAACTCCCATCACACCAAGAATCAGCTGGTTCTATAAGATAGCAAAAAGGTAGTGGGTTTTATACCAAAACTTTATATATTTCTACACAATATTATTCATCCCTTTGCTTGGCATTGTTTGTATGCCATACTATAGCTCAAATTACATTATATATAGATATAGATATATAAAGTAATATGGCATATATGCATGGCATTTTTGTATCAATGTACAATGATTTTCAGCTTTGTTTTCCCACAATTTTATTACTTACTATTTACTTAAAAATAAAATCTTGAAAATTTATGTTATGAAAATTTTATTTGATACTTCTGTACTTATTTTACCCCTAATATTCAACTTTATTGCTACTGTATAGTCAGCAGCTGCAGCTCTGTGAGTGTGTATGCATGTGAGTGTATACTGACTTTGTGGTGTACTATCATGACATAGACAATAGTGCGGTGAAGGCCTGGGGGGAGGGGTGGCAGGAGTGAGGGGAGAGGGGGTCAATGGGCGAAAAATGGGGGCCATCTGTAATACTTTCAACAATAAAAATTAAAATTTTTTAAAAAGCACCAAAATGTCTAGCTTACAGTTAGATGTTTGGAAATAGACAATGAGAAAACTATTGATTTTTGCTGTTGATAGTATCTATTCTACTATCCTAAAAAGTATGTGATCTTATTAGTAATAAAGTTGCAAAAGTCCTGAAAACACTAATTTCTGCTTGCTGCTAATTTCCCAGAAATACCAAAGAATGGTTATCACAGTTTTAGTTGCAAGTCAAGGAGGCTATTTGGCAAACTGTTATCTTAATATTCTATGGGACATAAATTGAAAATGGAGTTAACATTTAGAATCAGGAATTTTTGTTTTAAATAAAATTATATAAATTATAAGTTAAATTGAGATGTTACCAAGAAAATTGTAAAATCCAGTCTATAGTTATTATAAGAATTCTTTAAACTCTGTGTAGATGCACAGAGAATGAGAAAGTTATGTCAACAACTATGCTGTTTTCCTGGTTCAAGTAAAATCCCAAATTAAAGCAGTCCCTTGCACAGTCCATATGAGGAGAGACAATGACTACTCTATGAGTTATGATATTATGACCCACAGACATTTAAGAGTGGTAATGGGCCTCCAAAGAGGATTAAGCAATGTTTTCTATGGCTACATTATTAAAATAAGGAGCTCAACTGAAATTTATAATAACTAAACAAGTAATGCTTAAGTGCTATAGGCTTCATTATACCATAAACTGGAAATAAATGGCCCTCAAATCAAGAATGACAACCAAACTACAAAATGACTATTTAGTATTCTCTGACATTCTTAAATTCCTTTTGCTATAAGCTAAGAGATAAGAATGTAACCCTATTGTTAAATCAAAAGTATTTAAAAAATAAGAAATGGAAATTAAGCACAAGATATTTTTCAGAACTTTCCAAACTTTAAATGGGTAGCATTTTACTGCAGTGACAATATACCAGTGCTATAGAAATAAAAAAATAAAATTGCAAAACTCAATTATTTTTCCTGAACCTTAACATAGAAAACATAAATTATTTAAATCAGATCCTTGAGCTGCATGATGATTAAAGAAACAATGGTTTGAAGGGGAGTTGGAGGAGGAACTCATTAAATATACCTATGTACACCTAAGACAAAATGGTTTTGTTTGGATGTTCTTTCTGAACTCCGTGAATATCCTAGATGCATTTTAAAAATATGCACATAACAGTATTGCCCATTCATTACATAATTACTCCCAGAGTCTGAACTTGTGTTCTTGTCAGGTCATAGTTAAATAGGGTTAGGCTGAATCCTGTCTGTGGGGAAACAGAGAACTTGACCTGCATTTCCTTTTTCCCAGGTGGTTATCACAGAAGCAGCTGTTGCCTTTTACTTCCAGCCTCTATGTACTTCCTTATAGAAATATCTTATCCACATTGAGCTTCAACGTCATAGTTTATCAGTTATTATTATTAATTTTATCAATTAACTTTTAACCTTTAAATTTGTCTTATTTTCAACTTGGCCAGTTATATTGAAGACCGGAAGAGTTCCAGTAATGACAAGTCCCAGTTCCTAAAAATAGAATCAGAGAGAAAAGGCAAATTAAAATTAAAACTACTGCATTAGTCTTTGATATCTGACATTGCATTTTATACTATATAAAGAGCCACAAAAAACTAGTAATAGATTTTGAAAGATTATTTTACAAAAAAATCAATAAAAATGTCTTAGAAATAATCAAGATCTATTAGGCAGCTATTGAAGCATGCAACACCTAAAATATTACTCCATAAGAGCACTGCAAATAACTTAAAATACAAAAAAATCAACTGACACCAAACATTTCAGTTATCCTGTTCTACTCTTTTCTTTACGGTGATAGTTCACCTAACATCAGAGGCCTCCATGAGCAGAGTGATATTAAAATATTATGTGCTTCAAATGATTTATTCACCTTCCTTTGTTGTAGCTTCATTCTTGATTTTCTTTTTCATGCCCTAGCCCAAGGCTTACATGCTAAATCACAAACGTGTTGCAGAATAACATTATGAACCAAAGAAACATGTTACAGATAACTGCATTTCTGAGATATTCTTGGTAAATACTATGGTGTTCAAAAGAAGTAATATCCTCCAAAATAAAGAGTAGTTTTCACAAAGTAAAATGATGTAGATAAAAACTTTAAGCATAAAATATGAAAGACTAGTCATGAAGTAGTTTAGTGTAACAATAATAAATCAGAATGTAGATGATATCATAGATCAAACTAGAGCCCCGGTGCATGGATTCATGCACCAGTGGTGTCCCTCAGCCTAGCCTGTGCCCTCTTGCAATCCGGGACCCCTCAGGGGATGTCAGACTGCCGGTTTCAGCCTGATTCCTACAGGCCAGGCTGAGGGACTCCATGGGTGCACCAGCTGGTTTAGGCCCAATCCCCACAGGCCAGGCCGAGGGACCCCACTGGTGCACAAATCCATGTACCGGGCCTCTAGTATGCATATAAGATCTTTGGTTAATCTCTTCTACCCTTCCTTGAGATTCATCAGTCTGTTCCATGTTTCCATACCTGTGCATTGAGTGTCTGCCCCCTGGTGGTCAATCTGCATCATAGCTACCGGTCAAACAGTTGCTTAGGCTTTTATATATATAGATGAGACCATGGATTTGTCCAAATGAACTGATTTTCAAGTCAGAGGTTCCCTTTTCTTTATTACTGCCATCTGACTAATAAAGAAATATAGGCCACCTATATATTTATCACTATTTCATGTCAAACACCATTTTTAACAGTCATTTTTAAAATAATTTTAAAATTGTCAAAAATTTCTCAGCTAAGGTGAGAAAATAGTGAATGATATTAGTGAAAAATATTAGTGAATCTTCTTGTGAATAATAACCCTAAATCCAAATCTCAGGACCCCTGTTCTCATTCCAGAAACAGCATGGTCTCATGGAGAAATGTCCTAGACTAGGGTTTAAAAATGTGCATGTGGGAAGCACAAAAATAATGGAAACCAAATAAAGTGAGGAAGGACAATCATAGAGAGGCTTTCAATAGAACAAGATACTAAATTTTGGGGACAAATAAAGTTAAGGAAACATCTACACATAGTTGGGTGCATGATGATTTATACGTTAGCTCTCTAATTAGTCCTAAACAAGACCATTTGACAATGAAAGCATCCTTAATTAAATGTGCAAATTAATATTCACAATGAAAATATTTTATCTCAAAAAACTCAAAATTACAGGTAATTCATAAAACTAGTCCCCAAAAAATAATTAATTGAAGATTCCTTTTGGCAAACTTTCCATTTGAGTTATAATGTACATGCATAGTTTAATACATGCTAGTATAGAATAAGATAATGTATATATGGATATAATCTCTTTCTTTGGATCACTTTTGCATTTGTATAGAATACTCTAATTAGCATATAAATACTGTAACATGTTCTAAAATAAGATACAAGACTAATATATTAAATAAATTCATGGATAAACTCATTGGTGGCCAACAATCATTTCTCCCTTATTTATACAGCAGACAGAAAACAAAAAACAAAAAACAAAAAAACACACAACTGTACTTGTTTCTAGAGAATTAGAAAAGAGGAACAAAACAAGATTTCTGCTCTCCTGGAATTTATTTGATATTTATTTTCTAGAACCCAGCTCTTTTTCCCCCTCTCTCTTTTTATGTGCAGATCCTCACTTTACCTCCCAAATAAAGTGAACCCTCTATAATATTGCTCCAGTCTTGTTTCTGTCCTTTCTCTCATTATCTCCTGAAGTGACTGATGTATCATTCCTTCATATACCCAGCACTTCGCAACTTTCATCCTGCACCCTGTGTGGTTCACTGCTAATCACCAATAATAAAAACCTAACCTGAAGTGGAAAATCAGAAAAAATGCCACCATCTTAACCTCACCCTACTTTACCTCAAAATATATGGCTTATTTCTTCTGAATTTCCAGATACCTTTTCATTTGCTCATTATACTTATTACAGTCTTGGAATATTTTCCCTTTTACTTCTTAGTATAACAGTTATTTTGACCAGCATTTGTTTTGAATCTGCTATGTGCAGAGACTATAAACAAATAATTAGAAATATAAGATGGGTCACTTTTCATTTTCAAGTGAGCAAAAAGAATATGTGTTCTTTTTTGACATTTAGTTTCAGCTTATAGAACAGCATATTTAGAACCAACATTTCTTCCTAATGTCTTTTGTGCTATCAGTAAGAACCTTACCAACAGTGCACAAATGTTGGTGAATGAACTTCTGGTCATAGGAAATACTACAGGGCATAATTATTGACTCCTCCTATCATACTCTGTACTATGATGGATTTGGGAAAGGAAGAAATCTGGCCATAGCTTCAGATGACCATGTGACCTTAAATAAATATGTGATGTCAAGAAGGAACCCTGGACAGTAATTTTAACTAGGGCCTGAGGTAGCAAGCTTCACTTTATCGGCCTTAGCATGCAAGGCTGCTGCTAATCGTGCCTATGTTCCTTCTAACTTCCTGTATATGTTTATTTTACAAGAACCAAATGATAAGTAATTTAAGTGGGTTGCATTTTGCCCCTTGGGTTCATCGTTGTATTTAGAACAGTTGAATCAGCATATAATTAAATTTCAAGTAGGAAAAAGGGTTACTGAATCACTATGTACTTTTCAGAGCTTAGTACTTTGATTCTCTCTAATACATTAGTAAAATCATTAATAAAGTCTTATTAATATTAAGCATATGAATATTTCTTAAGTATGATAATTACTGTCTATAACTTTCATATCAGGAAAGAAAAATTTACATTAACATTTTTTTCTCAGATTCAGCCCTATTAACATTTTGAGCTGGATGATTCTTTGTTGAGTGTGTGTGGTGGGAGGGTGGGAGTTCTCTCGTCCATAGTAGGGTGTTTAGCAGCGTGCCTGCAGGGCCTCTGCACCTCAGTCATCGTGCTAGAAATATCTATGTAGGTATTTCCAAATGACCTGCGAAGGGGAAAATCACCCACAGCTGAGAACTTCCACCGTAAAATATAACTGACTATCTGTACTAAAATTGTAGTTGTGTAATGGACAAGTGAACATGCTTTTGTTATTTCATACCTGATTTGATCACCTCAAGGGCCTATTTTTATAAACATCTAGGGTTGACCTAAAGCAAGAGTTTATATATGAAGAGGTGATTAGGTTTGTATTGAATTCAGAATAAGGTAAGATTTCTTGCCTGTCTAACTGCATGTACTTCTGAGTTTTTTGGGGATCTAGCTTGATTTACCGAAGCTACAAATGCTTCTGCTAGTGGAGGTCTACTTTTAAAATACTTCAAAATTCTTGTTCAAAACCTGCAGTAACAGGTACTAATTCACAAGACTTTCAGCATTTTTCACATAGCTATTGAAAAAGTTATGGAAATGCCCATAAATGCATGGTTGGAAACTTTACATTCTTAATGGATCAACTAAAAAAGAGATAACACTTTATATCTGTGGTTCTCTACTATGCAAGTATAGCTTCGTATTTAGATTATCTAAATTCTAGTTTTAAAAAGTTGTGATAGGGTTTTTAAAAAGGTTTAGTGAAATGGAAAAGAGAAATGTCATCTACAAAGAAGTCAGCTGTGTGCTTTTGTTATGACAGTTTTTGGTTGAATAGCCAACCTCTTACCAGTGCATCCAGGTACACATTTGTCCATTGGACTTGCTTAGCTTTGTCTCCTGCTAAAACCATTGGTCTTCCCAGAACATCCAAATATTCCTATTTATTAATAAAAAGTAAAATAGTTGAAAATTAAAAATGCTGTGTTAAAAAAAACCATCTCCACAGAAGAAAAATTATCTAGAGTTAAAAATGAATATGGAGTCAAAATTATTAAGACAGTAAGCATGTAATCATTCAATTCCTACTTTGGGCACTCCTTAAATGGTATAACTACACACTCTGAATCAACATTATTTGACTTACATTATTTATAAAATATATCTATCCTAGTTTTTCCTAGTAACAATCAAAACATTATCTTTCTGTGGCAAAGCCAATGATAAGTGAAATATGTTCCCTGTGAATTGTTTTATGTTAATCTAAACTATTTTAGGCTCTGTGATTTACTGGATGGAACTGCACAAATTTGAAATAATAAAGCAGCCACGTATTTGCTTTCATATCATAGATTGTTTGGCTGAAATTCAAAACTACATTTAAACATATAAAAAAATAAATGAAATACTGTGCCAAATCTAGACATCAGACTCAAATGCAGCTGCTGTTTCATTTCAACATTCAATGTATTCAGAACTCATTTCCACAAATTTCACGTTATTTAAGCTAAATTTGACTTAGTCTATTTTACAGATCCTCAGTTATATTCAAAATTGAGCTATGGTTTCAAACAGTAATTTATGAATACTTAAAAATAAAACCAATTTAAATTAACCTAATTGTTTCAATGTATAAAGTTACTGACCAGGCATGTTTTTCTTTTTCTATGTATTTTATTTATTTATTTATTTATTTTTCTTTATTAAGGTATTACATCTGTGTCCTTATCACCCAATTGCCACCCCCCCCAAAAAACCCCCACTCATGCCCGCACTTCCCTGTTGTCTCATTGGTTAGGCTTATATGCATGCATAAAAGTCTTTTGATTGATCTCTCCCCCTTAAATGGTTGTAGAAAAACCATCTCCTTGATGTAAGTTTATTTTAAACAGGTAAATATATCTACAAGGGTTATTTGGGGATGTAAATTCTTAGTAAGAACATATATAATTTGTCCAGAATAATTACAGTTTCATTTTCTATGTGATACCAACAACTGGAAAAAAAACACACTCATTTAAATTATTTGCAAGAGAACAAGTTCAAATTACATGAGATGAGACTATTAGTAACTTTGATTGTATTTGTTTTGTACGATGTTTTTCACATCTGAGAAGAACAATATACTTATATATTTTATGTTTGAGTTTTAGAACCCTTGGAACCTTACTGGAATAAGAAGTAATACATTGCTGCCCTGGCTGGTGTAGCTCAGTTGGTTGGAGCCACATCACAGTGCCTCGAAGGGTCATGGATTTGATTCCCAGTCAAGGCATATACCCAAGTTTCGGGTTCTATCTCTGGTCAGGAGGCAAGCAATATATGTTCTCTCTCTCTCTCTCTCTCTACCTCTCCCTTCCTCTGTCTCTAAAATCAATAAAAACATATCCTTGGGTGAGGAATAAAAAACAACAATATATTACCATAATACTCATCATTTTGTTACAAATGTAATATTATGCATAAATGTAAACTTATTACGTAAAATATTTTCATTTTCACCTATTTTCTGCATATTGAGCACATATAATTCAGAAAATACCTTATATTTTGAAAACAATAATTTAATAAAGGTTTGAAAAACTGTACCTGAGTATTGATTCTTATTGCTCCAATGGAAGGAATTTCATAATAATAACCTGAAACATATGTATACATATTTATGAAAATATATTATAGAAGTGTTCATGCAATTATTTATGGCTTCGTAAGAAAAACATTTTTTCACCTTAACTGGCAAACAGTAAAATATTAACACCACCAATAAATTTGAAAATTACTGATTATTGTATATTCATTACAGATACATAGATTATTAGAAATGTTGCTACATTATCTTACATTGTACAAAATAATTATTTTTCTACAAAACAGTAGTGAACCTGATAACATTAAAAATGTTTTCTATGGGGGAAATTATTGACGACGAATGATCATGAGTATCTGATAATCATATTTATATAAATATGTGCCTAAATATAACTTTAAGAATACATTTAGGTTCTTTCTATTCCTATGTGATCACTATTTATCTTTCAAATAATATCTTATATTTTTTCTGAGTACAAAGGAAATATGGACTTACTACACAAAATATGAATTATTTAGAAATGTGTAAAAATACATTTTTAAAACAACATTAATTTAACCAGACAAAAATGTATATATGTCACACTTTCTTATATCCAAGTTTTATGTAATTTAGGTATTCTTTCATTGTTAGTTTTTCACATTAAGGTTATACTTAATAAGCATCATTAAGTATCATTTAATATATCCTTTTATGAATGTACAATATCACCAGTGTCTGAATTTTTATATAATGTAACAAAAAGTCTGTTGTGTTGTTTTTCCACAGAAAACATTGTCAGCATCTTATTCTAGCCTTGAGTCCTATAAAATTAGCTACAACTTTAGATTATTTTAAATAATAATATGTAGAACTACAACTACCAAATTATTTTTTTCTAATAAAACGTGGTCATGAAAATGGATGTTACCTTTATTTTCACAGGCCATCCACTGAATAGGTCCTCTGTCATAATTATGTTGACCAACAGAAAATGTGAATACACGTACCTGGTGAATAAAAATGTAGGTATCTGTTAGGCTGCATACCCTTTAATTAAACTGCACAACAATATAGCTAAAGTAAAAAAATAAAAATAAAAGCATGTTTTTCATAGTTGATTAATGGGACAAGAAAAATTGAGACCAGAAAAGCATTATAGAAGGCACCAGACAGAAAAAAATATCACCACAGACTTCAGTTATGAAATTTAAAGGTGCCCTGCACCATATCCTGATCCTATGGCAAGATCATAACTAAGGTTTTATTAGTAGAAACAGCACCTTTCAGGTCCAGTCTAAGTTCACCTGTTTTACCTGGTTAAAACATATTATTCATATATCTAGTCAGTACACAATAGAAATTTGCCCGTACTTTATAGGTATGTAGTGATAAAAATCCTGTGTAATAAAAGGGTGATGAGCAAATCTAACGAACGGCAGAAAGCTGGTCACTATGATGTGCGCAGACCACTGGGGGCAGACACTCAATGCAGGAGCTGCCTCCTAGTGGTCAGTGCACTCCCACAGGGGGAGCCCTGCTCAGCCAGAAGCTGGGCTCATGGCTGGCGAGTGCAGCAGTGGTGGTGGGAGCCTCTCCCGCCTCCGTGGCAGTGCTAAGGATGTCTGACTGCCGGGTTAGGCCCGCTCCCCATGGACATCCCCCGAGGGCCCCCAGACTGTAAATGGGCACGGGTGGGCTGAGGGATACCCCCCCCGCCCCACACACACACACACACACACTGAGTGCACAAATGTCATACACGGGGCCTCTAGTGTATACATAAAGGACATCACTATGCTTTTAGTTGCTTAAGGCAATTAAATTTAGTGATGTTTTTACTACTTTCACACTATGGAAATATTTAGGATGCATAGGTATGATTATGCTAGTTATATTACTTATTTTCTATAAAAGATGGTTGGTGTATATAAATATTTTAAGCTCCGACAATTTTTAAAGAGAATCAAAATAGATAGTTTCTAACATGTTATAAAATATGCAAATCTTTAAAACTTTAATTGAGATGGTTGTTAAATTATAGTAATTTAAGTATTTATTGAGAGGCATTGAATTTAAATAATACTATAAAAGTGTAGAGGACAAATTTAATGATGCTAACAAGTATTTAATAAAATGGCTACTTAACATGGGTTGATTTTTACCAATTTAGTAATCTAAACCAATATTCTAAGTTCCACATTTTAGCTTTTTCTAAAGATAAACATGCAGAAAATCACTTTTCCATGATTTTCATGTTCTGGTTTGAACTATGTTAAGAGCTTTTCCCTAATTCATGTCGATTGACTGTTTGAATTGACATTTTCTAATTGTTTCATCTGTTTCATCTTTTCCACATGATTGCAGAGCTCAAATCTCAAAAGAGATTTCACATCTGTTCTCTGTTCTCTCACTTGTCTCGGCCACACAGAAACCACGTTATAACAACCCCTGCCCAAAAACGTACATCGGGGATGTTGCCGTTTCACTTGTAAAGTTTTATGTGAGCCACCCTTAAGTCGTCCAGGTTTGCCTTAGCTCGTTATGTACCGAGGCATTCGGTGGACACAGCTGAGTTTTAATCACCTCAAGTGGCAAGAACAAATGACTGGTTCTCGGTTAACAAAAGTGAGTGACTAATGACACTTTTTTTCCTCTCAAAATACAAGATTTATTTTCTTAAATTCTTCAATTGGATCCCTTTTTAGGCTGCCTATATATTTCAATGGAGTGTTACTGCTTATATAGTTGAACTTACTCCTAAATGGAAATACTTGTGGATAAGCAGGTTGGCCACCCTACTGATGACTCGATTTAAATGCTAGCCCCTACACAACTGTCACATGAATTCAGGGCAGGGAAAAAACCCAGATGCTCCAGAAAGCACTCGGGGATTGTCTTTATAATTAACATGTGAAAGCATGTCTCCACTTTTCAACTTAAAGCATTGCTTTCTCTCATTGTTCCTGTTCCCACAACAGTGTTCTAGGAAAAAAATTTTTCATGAAACACTTTTCATTAAAAAGAAATAAATGAATACCACTAATACGTCTCTTCCAGGCAAGCATTTCTAATGACATAGAGACATAGATGCTACACTTAGACATACCATGTCATTATTTTGAGTGATGTTATTTATCAAATAGTCCAAATAAACACAAATCAGCCAAAAAAACATAAGGGTTAAAAAAAAAAAGCTTGTAACTTTGCTTTACTACTAAAGTTTTTCCAACTCCCCTGGAGCCCTCCTAAATCCAAATTAAGGGATTCAGGATCAGGGCTGGGTGTGGAAGTATACTTTCTGTCACAGTTATAATTTCATAAAATTTTAAAGGACACTCATTTCCACCACCACCCCATCTGTCTTTGTTCATTTTTCACATAGGTCCTTGGCTATTCGAATATAACATTAACTGATTGAATCCTCCCCTTATACAAATGTATATGCTTTAACTGTCAACATTTTTTAAAAATGTTATCTTTATAAAGCATTATATTTTTTATTTTTCAATTATAGTTTACTCATTTAAATATTTTAATATGTTTTTTATTTATTTTAAAGAGAGGGAGAGAGCTAGAAACATTCACAAGAGAGACACATCAATCTGCTACCTCATGCACGCCCCCTACTGGGGATTTAGCACGCAACCTGGGCATGTGCCCTGACCTGGAATTGAACCAGTAACCTCTTGGTGCATGGGTTGATGCTCAATCCACTGAGCCACACCATCAGGGCTACTGTCAACATTTTAAAAGATATTTTTCTTTCTGAAATTTTCCGAACTCCATGAGGGTAATAAAATCTCAAGAATTTTAAATGTAACCTTTTTATAACTTCTGCAACTACCTTACAATTATAATATTTACAAAATCTTTCTACTTTATCTAAGATTCTTATTTTTCTCTTGATGGATATACACACACACACATACACACACACATATACATACATATACACCAATCAGATGCATGTTTATATTAAATGATTTCAGATTATCTTAGAATTTTCAGAAATAATTTTTAAAAATATATATTTGTTTCAGAAAAAGTATACTAAAAATTACCTAAAATTTTAAATTCCTTATATGACAATGAAAAAAATCAATAAAATTATTTCACTTGCAGATGCCATAACTATGTCTAATTTAGCTTTGTTTTATACATAATAGGTAATTATGAAAGAATTTTAACGTCATAAACATGTGAAATACACGTTATAGTGCATGTACATGATGAATTAGTGAAATTTAAAATATTTTTTTTCACACTGACTTTCCACTTGGACTTGAGATGGTATTCTTCCTATTCTATATAATATTACTGCCACCCTGTGGAATAATGAACTAATCTAAAATTCCAGATATCCAGATCCACAGAGATGATTGCTATGCCCTGCTCTCATGTTTTCCACTTCTTTAAATTTACACTTCAGATTTAGCTATAATTTTAGGTAAAGGAAAAATAAAGCGATTCCTTGGAATATGCACAATTTAAAAATCAAGGTAAACTACATTCCCAATTATGTATATTTTTAGAGCTCTTTTCTTATTAGTGCATTTGGATGGTCTTAAATAAAATGACACACAAAGTAACTCAAAATCCTTAATGTGTACTCACACAAGCTATGTATTTTATCTAAAGTCTCAAACAAATTAATTTAAACCAACTTTATATCAAAACAAAGTCAACTTTTGTAAAAACATTACTTATGCTGCATGGTACATTTATAATCACAATATTAGACTCATGTAACAAATGCAAACTAAAAACTTTTCTAAATAATATAGAAAATTTGCTAAATGTTCCTCAACTAATTTGTGTGATTTTCAACAGGCTCATGTTTCGAAATGTTCATTTCTGTGAGGTACATATATGAGACATATACAATCATAGATGGCTTTGAAAAATATTTTGATAATGCTGGTGCCCAGATCTTTAACAGAAATAATATGGGAAAGTAGTGTTAAATAAACATTGGATTAGGTTAAAACAGTTCCAAGATTATACTATTTTATCTATTGTATCTATTTTAGTGTCTTATAAATAAATGGAAATAAATATTTGTTAAATGAAAAAAAAAGCCCATAATCAAATGAGTGGTCTCAACTTCTCACCAGAGGGATCTAAGACATATGTCATGCTATCTGACATGTAAAGCAATTAATTATAACAGAGCAGAGCCGACACAGGGCTCATAGCTGTCTTGCATTTTGTAATCTGGGCAGTTTCATTATATCATGATAAATTCTTAACCTTTTTTAAATGTTATTTAGACTTGCTCAATGGAGTTAAACAAACTTTTGCAGTCAAAATAAAATATACTTAATTCACGTACCACTTATGTACTGCATTAATTCCTAAAGAATAAAAAAACTCTCATAATCCTTGACTCATGTTTAGTTGTATAAGCATAAGCATATGCATAGAAGCAATAGATATTTAAGAGTGTATTTAATAAAATTAAACTGAAAACAATTAAACATCAGTCCTTAGTAGCCTCAAACTTTCATAATTGGCCTTTAGTTGTTTCAAAAACCAAATTTTCTCTGAATAGAGAAATTATAATTCCAATAATATAAAGCTGATACATCAAGTCTGCCTTATTTGATCAGAGAAAACTTTTAATTAACAAATTTTGTTATTTGAAATACATTACTGATTTGTTTCTTATAATATGCAAATGATTTATAACTTTATCCTACAATACTGGACTTCTGCTAATCTCTTTATTTTGTTTTGTTTGTTGAAGAATAAAATACTTGTCGTCAATTAAGATTTTTCCAAAGCCACAGGGTCAAACTATTTTAAAAAATCATAGGAATTTCTCGTTTCCCAGCAGAACACAGTTACTGGAAACTGTCACCTCGACAATTATCAGTTACCCAGAGTTCAAGTTTAATTTGCATTAGGCAAATCTCCAAGGAATAATGGAAATGAGACTATGAAGAAAGAAAGCCAATAAAACTAAAATAAAAACTTCAGCTATCGAAACATATTAGAGAAATGATGT